ACGCCACCGTTGCAAATCAAAAATGGTTGCGGTTGTAAAAATTTAACATTTTTACAAACTTTTAATTGCATTCATTGAATGGTCTTCGTCATGGTTTTTATAAAAATATCTACTCAGTATGAACATTCAACATAATTCATGAAGGAAATATCTTGGATATTGTATAAAACTAAAGTTTACAGTGCTGGATAAATGTTTTTGTATAAATATAGAGAGCTTTTGGATATTTTTAATTTTTTTGTTATAGAAAAGTTTATGGGGTCTTAGTGAAAATCCTTGGGGGAGCATCCTTCTTCAATCCTTTGTCCAGCAGTGGACGTCTTTCGGCTGAAACGAACGAACGAACCCTTTATGGGGATGAGTACATAATATTTTTTATGTTTAGCTTAGGTAGGATACTTGTAGAAATACCAATACCATGGATTATTTGTAAACAAATTACTAATAATAGCACTAAAATAAATATGAAATAAGGGACACTATTAAGAATTTTTGATGATTTTTTAAAGATGTAACCAAAACATATCTCAAACCGGTATTTTTATCTTATTGATACGCAAATGCTTAGTTTATTATATTAAATTCTATAGTGTTATCGCAAAAGTATACAGTCACAGGTCGTTTCCCTCTAATGACTCTAAAATATTTGGAATGAGTCAGTTTATTGAATTTTATTTTCGTCTGGTGAGGTGATTCAATTATTTGCTTTGGATGATAATCGATTTTTAAAACCAAATTGAAATCAAAATCTATACTTATAAATTTTATTTTAGCTTAAAACTTTAATTTAACACATTTAATGACAACAATCTACTGGTGTCCCAAATAGGACTAAAAGTTACTAATGCGGTTACAGGTTCAACTTCCGCTAGAAGCAAAAGCTATTGTAAAAGTAGTAAAATACATAAATTGGTACAAAAACATTGAACAAATAAATAATATGAGTATTCTTTTTTTATGTCTGAGTAGGTAGGTACATTCGTACAGTCTGGTATTGGCGAGCTACTCCTAGGCTGAGTTGCACCACCTCACTTTGACCGTAACTATAACGATAACCGATGTATTTTGTATGGAGTTTGACAGATTTTTGACGTTTGTCAAAGTTAAAGTAAGATGGTGCAACCCAGCCTTAGTTAATCTTTATTAATTTTTTGGCATTTTTAAATACGGCAAAGAATGCCTTATGGCCTTTCATCATCACCATCAAGGCTTGAACCATAGCGTTTTAACTCCCAACATTATTTTTCTTCAATCCTATCTTTGCTCAAGCAACAATGTTGTTAAACTATTACACTATAAGAACACGTTTACATCCATATTTGGTCCGCAGATGCGTCCTATTCCTATTCAATACTTTCCTGTACAAAAACTAGACTTGTCGAGTGTAAGCTTAGATAATGTTGAGAAATGGGTTTGATAATATACTTTTCAAGACTTATCATGTAGAAGAAATAAACACGTTTTAGGACGATTAGGAAACAATAAATATGCAAATCCACCTACAAGGTGGACCGACGACATCGTAAAGGTAGCGGGGAAGCGCTGGCGCAGCCACGCAGGCCGCTACCAATCGATCAACATGGAAGTCTTTGGGGGAGGCCTATGTTCAGCAGTGGACGTCCTATGGCTGAAATGATGATGATGATGATGATGATGAAATTTGTGCAAATATAGGCAGCTAGGCAACGATAGTCTTTGGTTTTGCAAAATAAAGGACATTGACAGCGAACTTTCTATGTATGAAAAAGCGCTTTGTAAAAGCCTACTTGCAAAAAATAAATGAGTTTTATCAGTTTTTTTATGTGATTAGAATAAACCAAGTTTTATCTCATCAAGGATTTCCTGAAGAAATTTTCAAGGCGAGAGTGAATACTGAATAGTCACTTACAGGGCTGTACCATCCTAGACTGCATCCCACTTAACACCAGGTACGATTGTAGTCAAATACCTGTCTTGTGATGAATAAAAATATAAAGATCGTTGATAACTATACTTTTGTATAGTATTGTATATGCAGCTCAAGTCTATTGGCGAGTGCTATACTCGTAATTTAGTACTTTTTTTCATTTATTTATTAAATAAATAAGTATTTAGTTACGTTATAAATATGTAGTTAATTGGGGACAAACCATTGGGGGTCTAGGACACTAAACTGTAATACACAGTCTTTACAAAATTATGTTAACTTGACTTACGAGACATAAAATCCCAGGTCAAATACATGACCCAAGTTAGACCCAGGTCACAATTTATTTATTTATTATGATAGATCATGAGGTCAGAGGCGCAATGACCCTGATGCGCTAAGTGGTTCATAGATCAATCATAGATCAATATTTATAATAGTTGCAATTTATTTATAAACTAGGAAGGTCACTCACTCATTTTACTAAATTATTACGAATCAAAAGAGAGAATCCTTTGACATATTTAGCTGAAAGACAGTCAGCGTCAGTTACAGAGGTTCTAACTGATTTTCGCCCGTATCCACAAACATTACTATGAGGTCTCACAGTCACAGGGTGACACATGAACCAATCACAAAGTTCTAGCTGTGCGCCCGATTTGCTGCTTCACTTAAGCAAGCATAGTTTTTGAATACCTATGGGCGTTTGTTACAGATCTGTGGCTGAGTTCCAGCACCTTACTTTAACCGTAATTTTTTATCGTACCGTATCTTAAGCGGTGCTTTCGAATGGAGTTTGACAGACTTTTGACTTTTGTTATAGCACAGAATAATAATGTACTACGTAAAAATAATATGGTGCAACGCAGCCTAAACGAAGAGACGAAAAGGTGTAAATATTTAATGAAATTGCGTTATAAAGATAATAACTTATTATTTGCTTAATAAGCAAAGAATACCTGGGACTTTCGCTTATCAAATTAAAAGTAAAAGTGTTTAATCATAAAGATTCCTAAAGGATTTTATTGATATAATTAATTATGTTAATTAAGTCTGTGAGAAACTTTGCATTAGCAAAATAATTACACCTGCGTGACTATAGTTTTTGTTGATTACTGGTATTGATAAATTAAGTAGGTACTCGTATCAATATTAAATCTCGCTGTTTTTGCTTAGATATAACTTGTAGCAGAGTAAAGTTTTTTCTATGGTTGTAGGTACCTTTTGTAGGTGATCTCAATTCTACATAAAAACTGTACTAGTTTATAATTATACAGGGTGTTCCGTAATTAATCCGTTATTTTTTTTAAGTTATGAAATATGACCAATTTCAGTTATTCATGCCTGAACTTAATGACTGTTCGGTGCGATTTAGGCTCATCTACCTCTAGAATCAGTCTGACGTGCTAATTTTGGAACACCCTGTATATTCGAAGTCATAGTGAGTACACTATACGAGACAGTAAAATAATTTGGTTTAGTTTCTTATAAATACATAATTATTGGAAATTGTTATTGTTTATTAATTAATATCTATCGCATATTTCTTACTTCACTTAACAAACAACTCGTGCATAATTGCTAATTAGCTTTCTCTACATTTAATTATGAATTTTCCAATATAACACCATTTCTCATTCTGCCTAGAAAGGCAATGGAAGATTTATCTACAATTTCAGCTCGAATTTTCGTTTTGGAGATGACTCTACATATTTTTATTTACGTAGTGCCAAAATAACTGTTCAGAAAGTTCTTTAAATAAATATGGAATTTTCTGAAAACAATTTTATGTTTATTTTTAGTAGGTAACTCTACATCCATTTTCACCTATAATCTGCCCAGTCCTGAATCTGCTTTTTACCTGAGTCTATCCTTTAGAAACCTTTTTCAGCTTTACCTAGACTTTGACTAGACTCTACATATTTTACAAAGATATTTCACAAAAAATCCGCTCAGTTCTAAACCTACTTGACTGATACCCTTTTCAAACCTGTTTCAGTTTTACCTGGATTTAAGACTCTACATATTCAGGTACTAACCGAAAATCTGCCCATTCCTAAACCTGCATTTGATTAAGATCCTTTTCATGTCTATTTCAAATTTACCTGGATTTCAGACTCTACATAAATTACCTAAAACCCGCCCAGTCGTAAACTCGCTTGTTTGACTGGCAGGTCAATTAAAAATGCGAATGCCAAGTCCGGAATCTTAGGCAATAGAGACAAAAGCTCTACCTACTCACTCAGGTCTTATTGGCGCGAGCTTTTGCAAAAAGGTTTCTAAAGCTCTACCGCTCGTTAGTGTGGATTCTAGGTATATTTTCATTGTATTTCTGAGTTTTATTGTTCACTTTAGTCGGTAGTACCGCTGAACTCTACATATTTGTTTGGGAATTTTCTGTTACAGAACTTAGAGCTTTTCGAGAACATTGGGAGAGCGTTTTAGCATGTTTGACACTTATTCAGAAGCACATAATGTAATCCTATTTCATGGTAAGTTGATATAAAATAATTCAAGGAAGTTATGTGTAGGCTAAGTAATACTGAGTACTTACCTACAAATACAAGCTTTAAATGAAAAACTTTAACTCAAGTTCGCTGGCATATTAAGATTGGATTTGAAACTAAACTTATCGATGAAGTAGGTATACGTAATAGCTATAGTTAAAAGATTTGCACAAGCCTTAACTGTGGTCGTCCTTCAAGCGATAAGTTTAGCTTTAGCTAACTCCGATATAACTCATTGTTATAGAACTGGTCCAAATATCTACATACACAGCACCGGAGCTGTCTGTCCGACATTCACATTTTCTTCAGTCGCCTGGCATTCCGCTAAAGTTGGACAAGGCCGAAGAGATTTCTTGAATGAATACCACATAAAAAACTCAACAAAACCACAGTATCAGCCTTACAGAACGAGCACCAATAACAAATTTAATTTTCAATTGCACAATTGTTGACAAATGGTCTCTGGGTCCAGAATGCGATCCGCCTTGCAAAAGTTTGCTGCTCAACCCTTTCGAAAAGAACTCGGCTAGATAACCGACTCGTAGAAACAGAGCCCTTCTCAATTCGGCCGCGTAGCGAGCGCTTACCTTTACAGAAACTGCGTGTTTTGGTGTCGCATTTATCCTTGCACTGTACTATAAACACATGTGTTCATAAAACTTTATTTGTCACGGTAAAATCGTTATGCCACCACTGAACACTGCCCGAACGCACGGCGATTAATTTTTGTCACTGATCGGAGCGGTTGGCAAGACGTCCGCGCCCCACGACGTCTCACGCATAACTGAGAGCGGAAACTGGCTTGGCAAGTCAGCGGCGCCCGCGCAGCGAACGGATGGTCCGGTTCACGCTTGCGTTTCGTTTCCTCGCCTTTTGTCATACGAATCGGTCTCACCTCTTACGTGGATTATGCAACGGATTTTAGTATGATGAGTGATATACCGTGTTGTGTTACTATCAATTTGTGTGAGAGTGTGAAATTCGGTTTATGTTAACAGAAGTGCTAAACGCATTAAGCTTTTGTAGAGGCGTAGACTGTAAATAATTTACTGATGTAGCAATATTGCCGCTACTGGGCTGCGGTTACATAAATAAAAAGTCTCTAGCTACCCTACGATGAACTTCGAGTTGCGTGACAAAAAACGGACTCTACATTCACGCGGTCTCTGTCTACCCGCTAATTATTGGCTATAGAGACGTACAGCTGATATGAAACAAAAAACTCGTCTTGCCCCGGGAACTACCTTAGGTATAACATCACCTTTGATGGTTAATTTTCAAGTTGTTATTAAGTAATAACAACTTCTAAATAACAATATAATTGCATAAAGTTTCCAACATTACTACTACCGTCAATTTATTCTCATGACTCTACATTTGGAAAACGAGTATGATAAACACAAAAATCTACATAATAGAAAAGGGAAGTCGTGGATGTACCGTAAATAGTCCCAATTCTCTCCTAAAGCAGTTCTATTTTAAAAACTATTAAAGCTCACCCACTAAAGTTCGGTAAAATAATGCAGAAAGTATCAAAATTATTAAAGGGCGTGTGTGTTAAAAATCTGTACATAGAAAAAAAACTAGGTTAAAAATCCTTGATATTAGAAGTTTTCTTATTATGAGCAGAGTCGGATCCATTTCTGGAAAATCACGTAGGTAGGTATAAGACTTAGAAAACTCTTTTTGAGTAAAAAAATAAAGTCCTTGTGAAAAGCCAAAAAAGATATGACATTATCACGTAATGGTCTACATTAATTTTATACTTCAGTTACAATACTTTTTACTTTAAAAGAAATCACGCGTTTTACTCAACAAATAATATTGATGATGATGATGATGAACACTGTTAAATCATGCGCTATGTAATGAAACTTCCTCGCGTTTTAGACGCTCTACTTAGTAACGTGCGCGTGCGCCGGTAACATCGATCATGGGGTTTATGAGTTTCACTTGTATTACATAATGAGATGCGAAAATGTACTAATATATCAGTTTACAGTGCGTTTTATATGTAGAGTTTAATGTAAACAAGAGTTGAAGTAGATTGTTGAAGATTAATTAAATAATTACGAGCATATCACAGACCTAACATGTTGATCTAAAGTTGTCCAATTTTTACTTGCAAAATTAGAGCGTCTTTTCAACCGACTTCAAAAAAGGAGGAGGTTCTCAATTCGACCAGTATGTTTTTTTTTTCTATGTTTGTTACGCGATAACTCCGCCAATTATGAACCGATTTGAACAAATCTTTTTTCGGCGTATAGGTAATACCTCTATTATTAAATTTAAATGGGACCACCCATTTAAATTTAATAATAGAAAAAACAACCCCCAAGGGTGGAAAATTGGGGATGAACTTTTTTATACGCAATATCTCCGCCGATTATAAATCAATTTGAACGATTATTTTTTTGTTGAATAGGTATTATCAAAAGGGTGGTTTCATGCGAATTTGAAGAAAATAGTTCACCCCCAAGGGTGGAAAATTGGGGATGAACTATTTTATATGCAATATTTTTAATTTTTAGTAGTCATTTTTATGTAGAGAACTACTTACTACTGTCAAACGAACGGTTCATGATTACATTCAACTAAAAATTTCAGCATCCCATGTAGTTGTCATAAGAACAGTAATTTAATAGGTAATTTAGTACATAACAAGAATTAAAGAAGATTGATGAACATTAAAAGATTTACGATAAAATTAAAGAGATATGGTACGAGCAGCTACAGAACAACGAGCCTTTTTCCTTTCATAAGTCGGTTAAAAATTTGGATCACAGAAAACTTTGCGATTCATTTCATACAATAATATTGCAACTCTACGATAACAGTCATAGCTTCAAAAGCTAAAAGCTTATCGGGAACCCGCATTTTTCTTTATCACCCGCATTGATGATAGTTATTCATTAAGAAACAATATCGTAGCCTTCTTATCTATTACACAAAAAACTTTTAAGTACAGTAAATATTAGATAACCTGTGTCTTTAGAATAAAACTTGTGTCTTTGCTTGCTGCATCGCTTACCTAAAATAACTTCAAAACACGATAACTATAACTTATGAGAAAGCACTTTATAATACAATTTGTTTCCTTAACACGGGTGTGTACTTACCTCAAATAGCTAAAAATCACGTAAACCAATATGTGTGTAGTTAGTCGACTTACAACTTTTCACAGGCTTATTTAACTGAACCATTAGATTAAAAAAACATAAATGAATAGTAAACTCAAGAAAAGTGAGGCACTTCATGACCTATTTCATAGTTTTTATATTGACGAGATATAACATTGGATGACATTATGATTTTTTCCTCATTTTAGACGAACCCCTTTTATGAACACTATAAATCTAGTCAAGGCCTAGATTCTAGGCTTAAGGCCTTTAACCTGAAGAAACAATTACTTACTGACCAATTAAGTCAAACTTTTTACACCCTAGTTGAACTCTGGTTTAAATTGTCATTTAGTATGGTAATGTCATTTTAATCCAATGTTCATCCTGGGTGTAACTTTTTATTAATAAGGAGGTAGTTTTAGTATGTCCAACTCTACATACTAAAACTAGACCCCATTCATCAATGTCCTAACAGCTTAAAATTACGTTTAAATAGGAAATAATGAGATTTCGTGCATAACTTTTGCATAACCCTTACGTGTTGTTATCGAATGGTTCTGTACAATTTGTTCTTAATTAGCTCATTTTGCAATTATAATTATGCGTTACGGACTTTCTTTAGTATTATTCTCGTATTAGAAAGGTTACTTTGTATTACGAGTTTGATTTGTTATTGAATAGGAAATAAGTATAATCATTTATTTTTTCTAGCAGGCAGCGCAGTCAGCAGTCGCTGACATAGCCCAACGGATTAGCAAGCTGAAGTGGCAATGGGCAGGGCACATAGTACGCAGAACTGACGGCCGATGGGGCAGAAAGGTTCTGGAATGGAGGCTGCGTACCGGAAAACGCAGCGTGGGACGTCCACCTACAAGGTGGACCGACGACATCGTAAAGGTAGCAGGGAAGCGCTGGACGCAGGCCGCTACCAATCGATCAACATGGAAAGCATTGGGGGAGGCCTATGTTCAGCAGTGGACGTCCTATGGCTGAGATGATGATGATGATGATGAGGCAACGCAGGACCGGTCATTATGGAAATCCTTGGGCAGGCCTTTGTCCAGCAGTGGACGTCATTTGGCTGAAATGAACGAACGAATTTTCTAGCTTTATGAAGCTTGCATAATATCAAGTAATAAAATTGGGCTGTTTTTTCAAAGTGACAACTCAAGCTCTAAAATGCTCTAAATTATTCTTAAAAACATTTTGCTTTATTAAAGATATGATATGTTAGTTTATTGCCTAACCCAAGTAACAATTTTTATTTTGGTATAATGAGTTTGATATAACTGCTTGTAGTTATAGGTACCTACATCAGTGTATGCATATTGTGATCAATCCAATCATATCACTTATTATAAATTAAATTGTGAAAATAAAAAGGAAACAGTACATAATTCAAAATTAATATAGGCCAACGAGGCGGAAATTAAAGCTTCCTTGAAACTTGCGTGTTAATTATAAATATTAGTAAGTTATAAATAAACAAGGTCCGTGTAATGCATCTATACATTCTAATTATATTATTATAAAAGCAAAAGCAACTTTCTAAATATATATAACTCAAAGGTGACTGACTGACTGACTGACATAGAGATCTATCAACGCACAGCCCAAACCACTGGACGGATCGGGCTGAAATTTGGCATGCAGGTAGATAGATGTTACGACGTAGGCATCCGCTAAGAAAGGATTTTAAGAAACTCCACCCCTAAGGGGATAAAAAAAACATGTTTTAAATATGATAGAATCAGTCAGATTCAAATAGCAAAACAGAAAATCGTATTGCAGTTTAATTAAGGCAGATATACCTACAGGGTGGAAACGATAAGAGTGATCTCACTCGATTATTTCTAAACTATACGAGATATTGAAAAACTGATTACTGATCCTAAAAATGCTTCACGAGCTCTTTCAAACGGTACCAATAATAGATTACAGAATCAGTTGGATGTATCCGAAAATTCAATGTTTTCAGCTTCCATACTAAATGTAGGTATGCCAGCCACACAATATTAGAAGTGTTATTTTGTTATTATAATAAACACTTAAAATGAACTCGTAAATTGCATTCTTATTTAAATTTATTAATGGAAAACATTGGTTTTAGGCTTAACTTGCTATAATATTATCAAAACATGAGTGCCATGACTGTGGCAGTACAAAATGTATGGAAGCTGGAAACATTGAATTTTCGGATAGATCCAGTTTATTTTGTAACTTATTATTGGTACCGTTGGATTGAGCTCGTGAAGCACTATCAGGATCAATAACCAGTTTTTGGACATCTTGTATAGTTTTTAATATTATGTGGTTTTACAAAATGTATGGAAGCTGGAAATACTGATTTTTCGGGTAGATCCAGTTTATTTTGTAACCTATTATTGGTACCGCTGGATAGAGCTCATGAAGCACTTTCAGGATCAGTAACCAGTTTTTTAGAAATGATCGAGTGAGATCACTTATCGTTTCCACCCTGTATACCTAATGTTATTTTGATGTAGAAAATACTCGTATTTTCAAAACTTATTCATTGATTTATCTACTTTTAAAATAAACCGCAAGTAAAATAAGATAATTGAAAATTCCAATCTGCGATAAATTTTGCTTTTGATTACTCTGATAAAAGTGAAATGTGCCTGATCACTGTAACTCAGTTAATTTATTTGTCATTTCACTTATAATAAATGTTGAACATCATCAAATATGTGATTGACGAATTCAATTAACAATTAAACCAATATTTTAAAAATGAGTGGATTCTGAAAGTTTTTCCAATGTTGATTCATTACATTCCTTTCTTTTTATGTTTTTATCTCAATTCAATATTTCCCACATTCATTGAAATGTATCATGAATTAGTTAGTTAACACATTTTTGGGGTAAAAACCTTTCCTTTAATGAAATGAAGTTTAGAACTAGGCTTTTAAATGGTAATATAGTATAGTAATATTGGTGGGAAGTGGGGATGCATACGTTTGAAAGTGCTTGTCGCGGGTGGGTCGATTTTTATGATGACCAGTGTATTTGTCAAATACAAAAAATAATTTTAATATATGACAGAAAAAGCTAGTCTATACCATAGTCCAAACATGCAAGTTTGTGATTATAGATAGATATTATTCGCCTGTTTACTATTTTACGTAAACGGATTTGGGTGAAACTACAACACTGTTAAAGCTTCTACATCAATATCACATAAATACATAGATATTAATTACTTAGTTTTTGTCGAATCCTGCATGTATAGAAAAACGCTTTTATTGAACTGCATGAACATGAAAGTGTAGTACACTCATGTGCGATATGGTTTTACAGCATGACGTCATGCATGGGAGGGTGTTACTTTCTACATAAGAAATTACTAATTATAACGTCTCTATTAAGTACAGTTCATTATTTATGCAACACTATAAGTACCTACTCAATTAGTAATTAGTTAGCTCAAGACCGAACGCGATGGAGGACTGTTGTGGACGCCCTCTGCCCCATCTAGGGGACGTAGGACCTTAAGTCAAGTAGGTCAATCAGTACTTTTGTACAGTGCAGCAGTGTCGACACCGCCTTCCCCTTCATATTCGTTTCAAGTAACTGTCCTCACCATAGGTTGTCTGGAAGAAATCGCATCATAGCAATAAGACCGCCTAATTGTACCTTGTGTGTTCCTTTTTTTCTGTTATGTTATTTGTTTGGTGTGCAATAAAGTGTATTTATTATTATTACTTTGACTACGTACGCGTACACAAAAAAATATTCCCGTGCAAATCGTAAAAATAAATAGGTATCAATATTTTGGGCTAGATTCCTGAAGATTCCGCTGTAGGCAATGAATCTTGAACAAAATACGAAATCTCATGTTCGGTTCCAGGCAGACCTTGATAGAGTAAACTATATTTTCATATCATAACATTGTCACGATTGGTGCCTCGTGAAATCTGCAAACAATAGAGAAGATAATGTGTTATTTCGTACATATTAATTTTTTATTAATATAGTAATTTGCATAGGGCGCAGTGAAACCTTAACCGCCTTAACGCAGCGCGAAAGCGACCGCAGCCTCCTGCCTATCGGTATGTCACTGATACTGATTACATAGAGATACTGGAAGATAACTGAAAAGAAAACTTAAAAGTTTAAGTCTTGCAAGGACAAATAATTATCGTTTATGTGCATTTTACATTATTAAAATATGTGTACCTACTCCAGTTTCTGAATTAAGATTTTTAAGCATGAGCTTAATCTTCTACTTAAGTATGAATTTATGTAGAATACAGAGGCATCTATAAGAATTAGGAGGCTCAAGGTTAAAAATCTTGATAATTAAAAAAAGGGGATAGTACTTATCTTATACTTACTCTTCAATTGAAATTGAAAACTATTTCTAGTTTCTTTTTTTTTCATGTAGCTATACTTAGACGACAGCCGTGTAAAAGCGATTATGCTGTGAAAACAAATCAATTTTATGACTTAAATAGCGCTCAAGTATGTCTATGTTTATTTAAAAAACTTTATTGCACAGAAAAGAGTACTCATGAAAGTTTTCAGGCCCGTTTTTATCCAGCTCATTATTGAGATGTAAACAATGTTTCAGAACAAGTTACTTCTAGTAAAACCTACATCCGTATCACCCAATAAGTTTCACTTGCAACAGCGCACGTAGCTCACCGCAGCGCTGCCATTGTGATACTGTCAAAGTGGGCCAAGATCAAACCATAAGTTTTGTTCAATTATGGGAAATATGAAAAGTGTAGAAGAAAGTTGATGATGGAAGTGGAACCACATAGCGTGGGTGATATTAAGGATCGTAATTATTAGGTATAGTGAAATAAGAGTGTAGGATTTTATTTTAGAGATTTTAATGTATGATTTGTCCTTTTCTTGACTGAAAATTGCAACTTATTCCAGTGAAATTAAATCGAAAACTTCTCAAGCTATTATGAAGCTAAATTGGATCGAGATGATCCATGTTGACTATTCATAAATATTTAATTGAGAAAAAGTAATCAATGTGATTAAAGCTCACTACGAACATTCTTGAATACATATAACGAGATTTCTACGGAAAATCTAAAGTTCGAATACCTAAGGAAATGCCTCCATAAATAGGTACCTACTTTAAATATATGGGCCTTAAATCACGCAAATCTTCTAAAAGATGTCTCGTATTTTTGAGTAGGTACATCATCATCATCATCATCAACAGCCCTTTACAGTCCACTGCTGGACTATGAGCCTCCTCCACTATAGTGGAGGGTTTTGCCATAATCCCCACGCTTGGCAGGCGGGTTGGAGATCGCAGTTTAAAAGATTGATGTTTTTCAGAGAGCGCTGCTGCCCGTTCTCTGTTTGATGTGTGGACCCTAAGTCGCCTCTTACGACACCCGCGGGAAGAGTAGGGGTTTGAGTAGGTACATTAAACACCAATATTACATACCTACTTGTTGAATTGCTCTTTGCAAAAAGAACCCATAAAACATCTACGGACTTTTATTTTCTAAAAATAGTAATTCTAAAACGGCAATATCGCAGACCACCCCACCATAAGTACGTATTTAGCTACCCCCACATGCTATTCAGGTTCTAGCACTAATTAGGACGGAAATTATGATCCTGCATGGCGCATTTATAAATAAAACGTCTATGTTATAAGACCATGTTTATGTTAATCGAAAAATTTAAATTTAAATGTAGAATGGGCAGGACGGATGTCAATATTTGTGCCTAGTTAGCTAAATTTATCATTCTGTGATCGTTTTTTAGTACATAATTACCTAATAATCACTGCGATATTATAAGCATGCTTATTATACCAAGATATTACTGGTGTATAACTTTACCTGTGGTACCAAATACCAATCTATGAAACATTCTAAACGTATACTAATATTATAAAGCTGAAGTGTTTGTTTGTTTGTTTACTTGAACGCGCTAATCTCAGAAACTACTGGACCGATTTGAAAAGTGCTTGACGAGCTCTTTCAAACAGTACCAATAATAGATTACAGAATTAACTGGATCTATCCGAAAATTCAATGTTTTCAGCTTCCATACTAAATGTATGCCTGCCACACAATATTAAAAGTGTTAATTTTTTTTTATTATAATAAACACTTAAAATTAATTCGTAAATTGCATTCTTATTTAATGGAAAACATTGGTTTTAGGCTTTACTTGCTATAATATTATCAAAACATGAGTACCATGACTGTGGCAGTACTAAATGTATGGAAGCTGGAAACATTAAATTTTCGGATAGATCCAGTTTATTTTGTAACTTATTATTGGTACCGTTGGATAGAGCTCGTGAAGCACTTTCAGGATCAGTAACCAGTTTTTGGATATCTTGTATAGTTTTTAATATTATGTGGTTTTACTAAATGTCTGGACGCTGGAAATATTGAATTTTCGGATAGATGCAGTTTATTTTGTAACCTATTATTGATACCGTTGGATAGAGCTCATGAAGCACTTCCAGGATCAGTAACCAGTTTTGGAATATCTTGTATAGTTTAGAAATAATCGAGTGAGATCACTTATCGTTTCCACCCTGTATACCATCCACGATACGAGTAATAGAAGCAGAGCTACAATGAAAAATGTTGCAAAAACGGGTTTTCACGCGTACGAAGTCGCGGGCGCAGCTAGTTATAAATAGTTTTTAAACCTTGATTTAAAACAGAATGACCTGCGCCCACATAATTATATTTATTGTTCGAAAATAATACTACCTGAGGAAAATACAGTTTATAAAGCTTTTAATGAGAAATACACACATGTAATCAATTTATTGTGAGTGCATCGTCTTTCAGTGTAATTTTCACAAAACTAGTTAGTTAGTTAGTTCCATACAAAAGATTTTACAAATTTCACAAAAATAAAGGAAATGGCGTAAAAGCGACATCTAGTAATGATTTTTAATACTAATAACGTCGTTTCGGTTTACGGTTTTACAACAAACATTAAAATAAATAAACGAATTAACATAAACATTATTTTATGTTTTTTATTATTATTAATTTCAGATTTATTATAATAGTGAACAAAAATATGGAAAAAATCAAGACAATGGTTAAGAAATGCATAAATCTTAAAACGTAAACAAGATCTAAATCTTGTCGAGCGTGAAACGAGACGTGCATGTACAATCAAAATGTCACCATGACAACAGTGTAATTGTTTTTGGCGTAGTAAAATCGTAATGTTTTGAGGCATATTTTAAATGAAAATGATGTCGGACGTAGCTAAAAAGAACAAAAACGACGACAAAGTCAACAACAATGCCACGAGTGAAGCAAAACCTTTGGATGAGAGTGAAATAAAGCTAAACAATGAGCTCAAGGCTCGACTCCGAAAGTACATCAAGAAGTTGGATGGTAAACACTCAAATTACACATTTTTCACACTATTTACATATAATTTGGTTTATGTTTGTCATATAAAAGAATATTCAAGTCATTAAGCTTTAGTGGTTACTCTTTAAAATGATAATTTTGCAATTTATTCTTCAACCGTCTTTGTGCGAACTTGGCGACTGATCAAAGAAGATACATTATTGTGAACTCTATTTAATTTTATGAATTACTTAACATGTGTTTTTACAGACACTGGCACAAGCATAACAAAAGAAGAAGGCGATAAAATAGAAGTCGAAACATTCAAACAGCTTTACAAACCGAAATTGGAAGCTGACGAAGAATCGTACAAAAAAATCCCGAAATTCTACTTCAAACTTCCCCGAACCGATGACACTTTAGCACAGAAGTTGAGAGAAGAGACCCGAGCCCAGTTTTTGCAGAAAAAAAGCAAAGAATTGCTGGATAATAGCGAATTAAAACATCTATGGAGTTTACTGGAGAAGTCCAACGGAAGTTATAGTATGTCCAATAATGACGAGCTGATGATCGACTATTTTCAGTTCAAGAAGATCAGGGATGAGGCTGGACCTAAATATAGGTTAATATTATCATAATTCTGTACCCAGAGATGAGAGAGCTGAGATATTTTTTTTACTCCATTTTATTGCAATCTTCAGGGGGGCATTCAGCAATATTTTTATTCTAACTGTAGCATAACCGTTAGACCGTAGTACTTATTATTATTCTGTGTCACTGTCAATACAATCAGCTGCAAGCACATCAATATTAAATTTTATCTCATAGACAAGTTAATAGCATGTATCCTACCTCTAAATGCTTGCCTAGAGGCTTTGAGGGGCCTCGATATGGGCGGCAAATCCTAAATAACATGAGAAATGGCCGATAAGATTTCAAAGTACCTATAGATCTTAAAATACTAAATATCTTTACAGTTGAGATAAAGTATAGTGCAAAAACATCTAAACATGTTTTTAATTTTGCTAGTAGCTTCCTACCTGTGAAATATTTCTCCTTCATCAACCATTACATTAAAAGTAATTAGGTACTATATTATGTTATTGTGTTGTGTAAAGTTCACGGGTTGCTTACATTATAATATTATGCATGCTGTGGTTATCGTTTGTGTGGGAGCAGTTAGCTAGAGACCTTTGGCCTTATTTTTTAATTGTGTTTAATACTGTATCTCATGTTGATAGCCCAATAAAAATAAATAAATAAATAAATACCATATTTATTCAGGCCATACTTCACCGCAGAAGTTTTTGGTCGTCTGCAAGCTGCCGAAGGGAGCATGGGCCGCGTGCGTGGTGTGTCTCTCTTCAACTACGTCATGCGACGCGTGTGGCTACAACAAACGAGGATTGGGCTGTCGCTGTATGACGTCACTGGACAGGGATACCTTACGGAACATGTGAGTATGAGAGGATTTTTAAATGCGTTCTATCAAATCTGAAACTTTATTTATGTAAAATGCTAAAAGGTTGCTTGAAGCAGGTTTTGATAAAAACTAAAACAGTACCAAGGATTTTTCTTGTTGGAAGTTTATTTCTACCTTTATTATTCACTTGTATTGAAGGAAAACCCCGCAATGAAATTGCGAGAGACTAAAAATATCACTGCCTAGATAGTGTCACTTTAAATGATTTTAATAAGGCCAAGAGGTTTATTTACATGTTTTGATGTTGAATCGTAGCATTGACAAAGGTTCATCATCATCATTTCCATCCACTGCTGAACAACTAGTGGTGACTGAGTTTGTTCCGACGTTTCTTCTCAGCACTTGCCATAATTATGTTTGTCTCAAAGCGCTGGTAGGGCCCAAAAGATAAGGTGACCTGTAAAGTGCCCCATAAGGGCTACCTTTTTTTTATTTACTATATTTTGACATTCATAAGTGCCACCAGTGGTCTAAAATAAATAAAATATTTTTGATTGGATTTCAACATAGGCCTCCAATGACTTCCACATTTCACGGTTGGTAGCGGCCTGCATCCAGCGCCTTCTACCCTGCCCGCCCTCTACCTTTATCAGGTCGTCGGTCTACCTTGCGGGTGAACGTCCAGTTGACAAAGGTTGTGACTTGTGACATATCTGGTTATGTGTTTGTCAGGATCTAGAGAGCTACATAGCCGAGCTGGTTCCGTCTCTGGCAGCTCTAGACGGACTGGACTCTTCATTCAGCTCGTTCTACGTGTGCACCGCAGCCAGGAAGTTTCTGTTCTTCCTGGACCCTCTTAGGGTGGGACGCGTTAGGATACAGGACGTGCTGTCGTGTTCTTTCTTGGATGATTTGCTGGAGGTAAGATTTAAGCTTGTATTTGCAAATTAAAATCCCGCCGGTAATAAACTTTTCACGATAACACTAGTTGGCGCCACTGCTGCACTGTAGCGACGAATTTAATCGCCAAGCGACATGGCGTGAAGACCCTACTCTACTATGATGCACCACACTAATGGATTGAAAATGCCATAAGCCTTTTTTAAAGCGCCAGTTACCACTAGTTATCGCCACTGTCGTGGCCACTGTACAGTGGTGCCAACTGGTGAGCGCATCCTAGACTGCATCTCACTTGTTATTACATTAGACTCTCTAGCTACACTCTATCAATAAGTGAAACATCATATTAATCTGTAAATAAGGAGCTTCTCAAAATAGTCAAAATTTTGTTATTTCGTTGAAGAAAAAACTCACAACACTCGGACTTTGCCGTTTTCGGAACCAATAAATTAAACACGATTTGATTTTGATTTGATAAGTCACTTATGTTTTGCAATTAATCTTTTAATTTTTATAACTAAAGCCCGGTCTGTGAGCACGTAGAATTTTGTCCAATGACCCCAAGCTACCCATCCTTATCGCTCGCGCGTAATTATATTGCTGTCGCGACTGTGCGACGGGCGCCCGCAGTGAGTGTGCGAGAGCGACAGCAACATAGTTACGCGCGAGCGATAAGGATGGGTAGCTTGGGGTCATTGGACAAAAATCTACGTGCTCACAGACCAGACTATACTTTTACTCGGTAACTATTAAACTACTACCCTCATTCCAGCTGCGCGAGGAAGACCTCCCAATGGAGCTGCAAGAACAGAACTGGTTCAGTGCAGCGTCTGCCCTAAGAGTCTACGGCCAGTATCTCAACCTGGACAGGGACCACAATGGTATGCTGAGCATCAACGAGCTGGCTGGGTGAGTTACTGGCAGAGCCAATATGTACTTGTCAAGGGGGCCCCCTTTTACGCTAAAAATTTTCATCTTCATCGTGCCCGGACGACGAACGAACATCAGCTGTTTTGACAAATCGTATCGCGTTGTCGTTTTGACAGCTAGTTGAAACGAAGCACAGACGTAAACGTAAAGCTAAATATCTCATGTGACAATGAAAATACTAGGAAGATACGTCCGTTACCGTGATACCAAATTTTCACCTCAGCTGGAATGAAAAACATATGTAGCGCGTATGTATTGGAGACGTTAAAAATTAGCGTAATCGGGGCACAGGGATGTTTCCTGGGCAAAAAACAAGAGTTTGAATTAGTCCGTCAGTTAACTTTTCGAAAAATACTCGACAAGTATTTTTCCCTTTTTCAATCTAATGAAAACGAAAGAGATAAACCGCGCCTATAAGAAGAGGCCCGTGACGTCAAGGCGTACTTAAAAGTGTAGCACTTCGAGACGTCAGATGGAACTTCAACGCACCATAACTTCGTAATTATTTGTTTGACTGACAAATAAAAATATACGTGTCCAATATTTTTTGATAGTGTTATTTACGGACTAAGTTTTTTTTTTAGGAAACTAGCCAATAGGAAAGAAGCGACGATACCCGAACGGTGAAGGTGTCGGACTGGCCGACTCGTGATCCGAGGAACACGGGTTCGATTCCTCGGATCTCAAGTCGGCCAGTACGGCGCCTGTAAGATCAATAATTGTTCGGTGAATGCGCTAATTTTCATTCCTAAGGATAACAAAAATTAAAAATTTAATTATTGAGAATCATTTGATCCATACATAGATGTAATAAATTGTGTATACCTTGCATACTCCCTGTTGGTCCATCCTACTAATATTATAAATGCGAAAGTTTGGATGTCTGGATGTTTGGATGTCTGCATGTTTGTTACTCTTTCACGCAAAAAAAACTGAACGGTTTTAATGAAACTTTACAGTATCATTGTTTATAACCCAGAATAATATATAGGCTATAAATTATGACGATATGTGACAAACTAAATTTCAAGCGGGTGAAACCGCGTGCAAAAGCTAGTGTAATAAAGAATTTGAATTTGTTTTTTTACAGCTACGGGTCAGGCACGCTAACCCGCGCGTTCCTTCAACGCGTCTTCCAACAATGTCTGACGTACGACGGGGAAATGGACTACAAGACCTACTTAGACCTGGTGCTAGCCCTGGAAAACAGGAAACAGCCGGCAGCCCTGGCCTATCTGTTCCGAGTGTTGGACATCAACTCGCAGGGGTATCTGGACGCTTTCACACTAAATTATTTCTTCAAGGTAAGGTGATATTGTCCGTAAGACAAGGGGCACATTGTCCGAAAGACAAGGGGCACATTGTCCGAAAGACAAGGGGATATTGTCCGTGAGACAAGGGACACATTGCTCGAGCTACAAAGGGCACATTGTCTGAGAGACAAGGGGCACATTGTCTGACAGACAAGAGGCACATTGTCCGAAAGACAAGGGGCACATTATCTGACAGACAAGGGCACATTGTCTGACAGACAAGAGGCACATTGTCCGAAAGACAAGGAGCACATTGTCTGACAGACAAGGGGACATTGCCCGAGCTACAAGGGGCACATTGTCCGAGAGACAAGGGGCACATTGTTCGAGAGACAAGGGGTACATTGTCCGAGAGACAAGGGGCACATTGTCTGACAGACAAGGGGACCTTGTCCGAGAGAAAAGGGGACCTTGTCCGAGAGAAAAGGGGACATTGTCCAAAGGACGAGGAGATATACCCGTTTGCAGTGTCCCGCATAGAACTGAATTGCTCTAATTTGGAATTTTTAATAATTTTGTGTAGTCACTTGACCGTCCAGTTTTGCAGAATCCTAGATTACTGGATCCCGCAAAACTGGATTGCTCTTAATTTGCTGTAAAAGATGTCCAGTTATCAGTTTTATGCAGAAAATAAAGAGTATATTTTTAATTTTCCAGGCAATCCAAGAGCAAATGATCGCCCACGGCGCCGAGCCAGTGAACTTCGACGACGTCAAAGACGAAATCTTCGACATGATCCGACCGCAGCACCCTTCCCGTATCACGCTCCAAGATTTGGTCCGAAGCGGCCACGGGCACACAGCTGTGTCCATACTGCTGGAATTGCATGGCTTCTGGGCGTATGAGAACAGAGAGGCATTAGCAGCGGCCGGCGACCACCAGGCCTGACGTCACGAGCTGTCGGGGGACATCGACAACATTGATCGGCATTTGGAGCAGAATTTGAGGAAGATTCGGCTGTAGAAAAGTGAAATTGTAACAGTGATATGGACAAAATCAGTGTGGTGTTGTCTTCTCGCTTCAAGAACTAGTATAAAAGTGGAACGAGCAATGTTGTGTTCCAGCAGTTGGAAGTAAAATAGCCAATTCCTCTGTGATTGAGGATTCCAGGTGAAGCTTGCTTCCACCTTCAGCCTCATCATCACTTTCCATCAGATGCTCGCTCCGGCAGTTGGAGGTAAGATAGCCAGTTCTTCAATGGTTGAGGATTCCTGGTGAAGCTCTCTTCCGTCTTCAGCTCCATCATGACTCCATCAGGTGAGATTCAGGCCAAGAGTTTCCTCACTGTAGATTCTTCAAAAACTAGTGCTCGCTCATTGACCCAAGACCTGGTCCGAAGCGGCCACGGACACACAGCTGTGTCCATACTGCTGGAATTGCACGGCTTCTGGGCGTATGAGAACAGAGAGGCATTAGCAGCGGCCGGCGACCACCAGGCCTGACGTCACGAGCTGTCGGGGGACATCGACAACATTGATCGGCATTTGGAGCAGAATTTGAGGAAGATTCGGCTGTAGAAAAGTGAAATTGTAACAGTGATATGGACAAAATCAGTGTGGTGTTGTCTTCTCGCTTCAAGAACTAGTATAAAAGTGGAACGAGCAATGTTGTGTTCCAGCAGTTGGAAGTAAAATAGCCAGTTCTTCTGTGGTTGAGGATTCCGGGTAAATCTCGCTTTCACCTTCAACCTCATCATCACTTTCCATTAGATACTCGCTCCAGAGCTGGAGGTAAGATAGCCAGTTCCTCTGTGGTTGAGAATTCCGGGTGAAGCTCGCTTCCACCTTCAGCCTCATTCAAAATCAAAATCAAAAATATTTATTCAGTTTAGACCACAAGTGGCACTTATGAACGTCAAATATAAAAAAAGAAAAGGTAGCCTTTATAGGGCACTTTACATATCTCCTTGGGTCATCACTTTCCATCAGATGCAGGCCAAGAGCTTCCTCGTTGTGGATGTGGATTTTTCAAAAACTAGTGCTCGCTCATTGACCCAAGACCTGATCCGAAGCGGCCACGGACACACAGCCGTGTCCATACTGCTGGAATTGCGTGGTTTCTGGGCGTATGAAAACAGAGAGGCATTAGCAGCGGCCGGCGACCACCAGGCCTGACGTCACGAGCTGTCGGGGGACATCGACAACATTGATCGGCATTTGGAGCAGAATTTGAGGAAGATTCGGCTGTAGAATGTGAAATTGTGAAAGTTATATGGACAAAATCAGTGTGGTGTTGTCTTCTCGCTTCAAGAACTAGTATAAAAGTGGAACGAGCAATGTTGTGTTCCAGCAGTTGGAAGTGAAATAGCCAATTCCTCTGTGATTGAGGATTCCAGGTGAAGCTTGCTTCCACCTTCAGCCTCATCATCACTTTCCATCAGATGCTCGCTCCGGCAGTTGGAAGTAAGATAGCCAGTTCTTCAATGGTTGAGGATTCCTGGTGAAGCTCTCTTCCGTCTTCAGCTCCATCATGACTCCATCAGGTGAGATTCAGGCCAAGAGTTTCCTCACTGTAGATTCTTCAAAAACTAGTGCTCGCTCATTGACCCAAGACCTGGTCCGAAGCGGCCACGGACACACAGCCGTGTCCATACTGCTGGAATTGCGTGGTTTCTGGGCGTATGAAAACAGAGAGGCATTAGCAGCGGCCGGCGACCACCAGGCCTGACGTCACGAGCTGTCGGGGGACATCGACAACATTGATCGGCATTTGGAGCAGAATTTGAGGAAGATTCGGCTGTAGACAGTGAAATTGTGAAAGTTATATGGACAAAAGCAGTGTGGTGTTATCTTTTCGATCCAAGAACTAGTCTTCTAGTTTGTCTAGTCCGGTAGCCACAGTGGAAATTGTGTAAGATTTGTATGGATGTAGTGCAGTGTCAAAAACTATTATGCATCTTGACTTCTTGATACTCGTATATTTTAATTAGTAATTTGTGTTGTGCCTAATTATGAAAAATATCGATAATTGATAGTTTATCAATCGATATGATACTATCGTGATCTGAAAAGACAAAAAATATCATTGCCTAATAGTATACAAGAGACATTGTAAATTTTGTAATACATTATTTCTTAGACTAGCATTACAGAAAACACGTCCGTCTGTGTTGCAATCTAAGTAGCAACTGCGATTTCTTGATCCGGATTAGAGATAAAAACCTAGCATTTGTTATTCTGTAAAATAAATGAAAGCGATATTAAATTTAAGCAATATTTATTTTTGTAACATGATTATATCTATAACTTTAAACAATATTCAAAATGCTGTCTTAAAATTAAATTGTAAATAAACATAAATTGTTACTAAAATTGTACTTATATTTCATATTGTAATATTATATTTTTATAAATTGATTATTATTGTATTTATCACAAAGTTATGCAATTGTTACTAAAAATAATAATAAAAATAATGTAAATATTCAACAATTATGGCCATAAATATTATAAGCAAATATAAATATCAACAAACAATAATTATTTTTATTTGTATTTCTTATTATGTAATAATTCACTGATTTCATTATATTTTATCATATTCGTTTTACATACATACGGTAACAAAACACATTATAGCACCCATAGACAAACGTTTTTGTTTAATTAATTTGTTTGATAAAAGGTTTCTCTACCCTATTCTACAGGGTGTCCCAGAATGGGTAAATCAAACTGCTAGAGGAGGTAACTCTACTAATTTACTATCCCTAAAAAATATGAAAAAAAAATAAAGCGCATAAGGACACAAAAAACATTTTTTTTTTAAAGTGAAAATAAATCAGCTTTGCCTAAGTATCTGGCTAAAATTGCTGCGTTTGGAGTTTATTTGTACTTTTTTCTTACAAATATTAATAAAATTGTACATGATCGCTTCGTTTATCTGTAAACAAACTTTTGAAAATAAGGACTAGATTTAGAGTTTAGAACATTTTATTTAAAAAAAATCCAAACTCAATTTTTTTTTCATATTTTTAGGGATAGTACATTAGTAGAGCTACCTCCCCTAGCAGTTTGATTCACCCATTCTGGGACACCCTGTATATTTTGTAAAATCTTATGTTCTTATTGATAAAGGGTTTTTCTACTCTATTTTATATCTGTAAAATATTTTATGTACTTAACAAGTTAAAAAAATATTTGGCATAAAAGTAAAAGTTAGTAGATTAAAAAAAAACTTATACCGACTCCTGCGCACTCCTGTACTCGTAAACGCTGCCTCTCTCGAGGAACTCACTGTATTGTTTGTCAGTTTGTGCGTCACCGGTAGTGGCGTCGGGTCTCCCGTACCCACCGCCTCCGGGCGAGTTCATTATGTATTTGTCCTGTAGGAGAGAATGAATTTGGGATAAGTTGAAAGTATAGCACATAAAAAACTGTAGAAATGATATTTATTTATTTATTTATTTTCAACCGACTTCAAAAAAAGGAGGAGGTTCTCAATTCGACCCGTATGTTTTTTTTATTTATTTATAACTAGTTAATATTCAAGATAAATCTTTTAGGAAGGTTCAAATACTTAATTCGTGACTAGGCCTTTTACAGAGCACCTATACACGTCTCTAGCAACATTTCGAAAGCTGGTGGCTGGTGTTGAAATCTCAATCACCTTTAGGCTTTGTCAGTTTTTTGTTTTTACAGGAAACACTTTTAAAAACTACATTATTATCCTTTCTGGTATTTATATTTAGACTCATGAGCAATATCGATATCCCAACATTCCTAGAGGCATGTCATGAGTATGAATGAATACTATCATCTTTGAATTGATCTCACGGACCAGGCTTTAGTACCCAGTTTGGGACTAGAAGCGCAGTGTAAATGTCCAAGGATATTTATTTCTTATTATATTTATTATTTACTTACTCCCGGGTACGCCACGACAGAACTCTTTGCTCCCAAGTTGATAAGTCGGCCGTCGGCCCGCTGCAATAAGTTGAGCCCTCTCGCGCCCGGCTCCCCTCCTATAAAGGTATGGTATAAAGAACCCTCTCTTTTGGCCTATAAGTCTCCACTGCAGGAGCAAAAGTTACAAACCTCTTTAAATTACCAGAGGCGAATGGAGGATTTGGTTTGATCTAATAAAGATACAAGAATGTAGGCAATGTAGTTTGGAAATACGAAATAGTAGCGTAACATTTATTTATTTATTTATACTTTTTAACATAATACAGTGGCGGACTTAATGCTAGGTGGCATTCTCTGCCAGTCAAGCACAGGTCAATTAAAGAGATTAAGGCGGCATAAGACATTCATTCATAGTAAAAATCATGATAATTTTATTAAGGACAAAATTTAAGGTGTGGCCAATATGAAGTCAAGAATAGTTGTTTTCGGTAAGTCCGGAATTGGCAGACCGACACCGAAACTATTGAGTTATTGATTGATCTTTATGCACTACTGTAAGCTATATAGAAACCCAATAATTATATTATTGGCGGGATTGCTACCATGTACCTTAATTTCGAGTTTCCGATATCTCGGCACTGTTGCAAGCTATTCTTATTTATTCTGTTAGTGACCATGAAAGTTTAGAACAATATAGAAACCGAGCTCACCATTCATCCCATAGGGCTGGAAGGCGCGTCTCTCAGTTAATACTGAGAGCTGCACTGTGCGACGGAAGACTAACTCTCTGATAACACCGTCGCCTCCATTCCAGCGACCTGGAAACGTACAAGTAAGTACAGCCAACGGCACGTCATATAGCACGTTGAAAAGCCAGGAAAACTCAAAAGAACAAAGTTAGTATAAAAACGTTTATTATTATTTTGAATGCTCAACTAACTAATAAAAGGGACCGGGAATAAGTCACAAACTGGTTTGCCCCTCGTTCTCAAAATTAAACACATCCCGGATAAACTAAGAACAATGAATGACCGATGCGGCATAAGTGTGTTTTTGTTACGTCAGATGCTGGGATACTTCAGAAGTGAAGAAACTGTTGAGCGGCGATCCGCTCCGCTTTCGTGTAAATAACCTGCCCGCTATGCCGCTCGTCTCCGCTTCGCTGGAAAACGGCTCTTATCTACTAACCTCGGCCTCCCGAGCCCGGCCGCAGGCTGAAGGCGGTCAGTAGCATAGGGTTTCTCCGCTCCACCACCTCCAGGTCTGTGATGCGTGTGTTATGCCCGTTTTCACCATCAATCTCTAATTTATAAGTGACCCCTATGGTAACACATAACAGGCATTTTGTTTTCATGGGGGTCACTTAAAAAATAGGGATTGATGGTGAAAACGGGCATTAGTCATGTGGGTGTGCACGACTCCTGCGCCGTGCCAGCCACGCCTAAGAACTTACTCAGGCTATGCACTATTCTTTTCAGCCAAATGACGCCCACTGCTGGACAAAGGCCTCCCCCAAGGATTTCCACAACGACTAGTCCTGCGCTACTCGCATCCAGGTTCCCATTACCTTCACCAGATCGTCAGTCCTCTTAGTGGCTAGTCTTCTGGCTCGTGGTCGTGTCTCAAGAACTTTTCTGCCCCAGCGGCCATCAGCTTTTCGAGCTATGTGCCACGCCCACTGCCGTTTAAGTTTTCCAATTCTGCGGATTATGTTGATCACTTTGGTTTTCCTGCGGATCTTCTCATTTCTGACTCAATCAAGCAGGGAAACTCCGAGCATAGTATACTCCATCGTCGTTTGGGTGACCTTGAGCCTTCTTATCAGGCTCATAGTAAGCTATGCCTGTAGTGTACTAACAGAGTAAATACAAATGAGTAGGTCATCTTCATAGAAACGCATCGAGTACCCGCCCGTGCGTTTCTATGAAGATGACCTACTTTGTATTTACTCTGATAGCACGCTCCATCGCCCTTTGGGTGACCTTGAGCCTTCTTATCAGGCTCATAGTAAGCAATTCCTGTAGTGTATAGTCTGGTCCGTGAGCACGTAGAATTTTGTCCAATGACCCCTAGCTACCCATCCTTATCGCTCGCGCGTAATTATGTTGCTATCGCGCTCGCACACTCACTGCGGGTGCCAGTCGCACAGTCGCGACAGCAATATAATTACGCGCGAGCGATAAGGATGGGTAGCTAGGGGTCATTGGACAAAATTCTACGTGCTCACGGACCGGGCTTTACTAACCTCGGCCCCCCGAGCCCGGCCGCAGGCTGAAGGCGGTCAGTAGCATAGGGTATCTTCGCTCCACCACCTCCAGGTCCGTGATGCGAGTGTTGGTCATGTGGGTATGGACGTGGGCATCGATGATATAGATGACCCACGCTGAACTGTCCCACCAAACTCAATGACAGGGGGGCGCTACCATCGTTCAACTATATGGTTTCCAACATGGCAAAAATCGGAACTAGCGATCCGGGATTGACGGTGGCGCCCCACTGTCAATGTCATGCATAAGACAGTTCAGTATTTTGGAACTATATTGTACATTTTGACACTGTGACATTTTGACGTTTATACTTTTTGCCACACTAACAGCCGGTCCGTATGGACATTTTGACCCTTGCACATTCCAACCGTTGAGCGTTTTTTCGCATTGACCACCCACTCCCAGAACGACTTTTCGAGCTATGTGCCACGCCCACTGCCGTTTAAGTTTGGCAATTCTGCGGATTATGTTGGTTACTTTGGTTTTCCTGCGGATCTCCTCTATTCTGACTTAGTGTACTAACCTCGGCCCCCGGATCCCGGTCTAAGACTGAAGGCGGTCAGTAGCATAGGGTATCTTCGCTCCACCACCTCCAGATCCGTGATGCGAGTGTTGGTCATGTGTGTATGGACGCCTCCCGCGCCGTGCCAGCCGGGGCCCTACAAAACCATGACAAAGTAGGGTGTCACCTGTTTGCGTCCAATTTATTATCCGGATTATTATTTTAAACAGTTGAAACTAACTGTAGGCGATGTAGGTCGATGGGTGAACGTAGGTGATAAATGAAATGAAAGTCCAGGTAGGTACGTTGAAAATGAAGGCGCGTCCGGGTGTGCGCACTAGTACGTTCGCAGAGGGTGAGAGTTCGACGACGACTGGCGGCTCTCGGCCGCGTGTGCGGCGCGGTGGGCCGCTAGAAGCTTCTCACCATAAAAGGCGAGAGGCCTCCGGCCAATCAGCGGGCCGCATTGCTAACGGCTAGCTCGGAATGTTCTAGGCGCGCGATAATATTATTACCTACGCGCGCACCCAGATTCGCTTACTTATTTAATTATGTCATAACACAACAATACAACATTTAGGTAAATGTAGCAAACATTTAGACATTATTGGCTTAGTTAGATATAGGTAGGTAAAGATATAGATTACACATTTAGGTATTAAATAGATTTCAGGTTATAAACAAAAATACAAGGTAAGTCACAAGACTTCGGTAAGTTTAGTAGGTTAATAATATTACCTATAGGTTACATTCAGGCACCATCAGTTACATATTCATACAAATAAATGAAAGGCAAATCTAATAAGGTAGTAGTAAATTAGTTTCATAAGCAGCCATTTTAATTAATAATATTTAAATCTAGCTAAGTTGTACCTACTTCAGGTGGCCATCGTCAACACTAACCATGCTTTAGTTTTACTTTTGTTTTATATTTTTGTTTTGTGTTGCTAAATAAAATATTTCATTTTCATACTGACACTTTAACATAACTTAAAGCTATTGCTATGAAATCTTAGATTTGTAACAGGTAATAATACTACAGCATAGTACATATTAGCATTTGTTATAGAGTTATCAATCGCTTGGAGGATTATGATGGTGGGCGCAAACTGGCGACATGACTCTTATGTCATATTAATTACATTCCATTATAAATTCCATTCCATTTCCTGAAAAGTTCACATGAGAACTCTAAAGAATCACACTGCATAACATCAAGCAAGATTATAATACCTGCCTTGTATCGACATAATGGTCCAGAATAACATACATTAAAAATCTTCAGAGAATCTTGAAACCAATTAATATCAAGAATCGTTTTTAAAACCTATTTTATAGCAAAATAGTAACTTACAGCACCGCTACCACCAGCTACCGTCTCGTAGTAACCCCAGCTCTCTTCGCCGAGGGTCAGATTGTTCATACATCCTTGAGATGCTGCGCACACCTGGAAACGAAACATTTCAAAATTATTTCAGTGTAACAAGGGACTCACGAGCGAGCAGTGACGTGTGTGTATTATTTGATCTATTTTAAGATTTTATTCGATATGGAAACAAGTCAAAGAGCAGTAGTCTTAAGAAGCACGCAGTGATAACTTTTATCGACGTCAAAATATACATTTCAAAAATCGATATAATGGCGTGATAACCGCTCATCGCGGCGCGCATCTTAGGCCTACTAGAGTGAATAAACAAATAAATAAATAATAAATATCCTTGGACATTTTACGCTACGCTTCTAGTTCCAAACTAAGCAAAGCTTGTACTATGGGTACTAGAGAACGGATATAAACATACTTACTAAAATAGTTTTTTTTTGTAAATATATACATATTATACATAGTAACACCCAGACCCATCACAGAAATCAAAATTCATCATTTAAATTTCTGCCCGGCCGGGAATCGAACCCGAGACCTCTCGGCATAGTAGTCCGTATCGAAACCACTACACCAAACGGCCGAATACTTCTGTGGTGCGCTAGATGGCGACACAGTAGCTTCTTGTTGCAGTCAGCAAAAGCGCAGCGGCACAGTGCCGATCACTGAATAGATTTAGTGTATTTTGAATCGTTTCCTCGAGCAATAAGAGTGAAATTCGCTTGCAATGGATTTCTATGCGTATGTAAACGAAACAGTGCTCGACTCTGAAGCAAGCTAAATTGCACCAACGTTGAGTAGACATTTTTTAAAATAGGTACCTTTGCGAAGCACTTCTGTACTATGTATGTACACACGGCCACACTGTAAACTATCCATTTCCGTTTTTGCTCTCGCTCTCATCAAATGGTGATTCTTTGCGATAGAACGAGACGACATGACCGGCAATGAGCAGTTAACACTGTTGCCGATAGTACATTATTATTCTATGATTCAGATAGCCCTAGAAAGGATTGAGGTATTACCTGGAAAGCCTTCAGCACGACATCCACGATCCTCTGGGAAGTGAGGACGTTCCCTCCCACCACCGCCGCGCCGTCTGACGGGTCCAGGATGGAACCGCTCGGGATCACTACTTTCACTGGGTTCAGGCAACCCTATGGAAGAAGATAGATTTATACAGGGTGTCTTAAAAGTGCTAAACTTAATAAAAAAATATGAGTTGTGTTTTATTGAAGTTCGAAGCGCATATTCACACACTCGTCTTAATCTCGCGACGACTTCACTCTCGGAGTCCGTGCTTTAAATGACAACTGCCATTGCAATGTGCACTTTCTCTTGTTATTGTAACAAGGTTCAAATTCTAAGGATGATGTTCCGATGCAAACCAAAGTTAGCTGAGTAGCGTAGATACCGACTGAAACCAAGGAAGGTTTCACTTGGTACGGATACGGTATACAAAAATACACACTGCTTACCTGATTAAGAGGCACGTCATGCCCGACCATGCACCGCAAACAGTAGATGAGGGCAGACAGAGTGATCGCTCGAGGTGCATTCAAGTTGCCCCACACTTCCACCCCTGTGCCACTAAAATCAAAACCATAATCTAAAACTATCCTAATAAGTACCACATATTTTCCACATCTTGGCGATGCATGGAAATGAATAGATAGATTGAAAATCAGATAAACATTATAGGCTTTCATAAAAACTATTAAAAAACGGTAGTATTAATAGACAGAATCATGATTGATTTCTACCACATACCCACACAAATAGCTGTTTTCGTGCATATAAGTTTCGTGTTACGAATTTTCAAAGGATTTTTTTAAGAATTTAAAAAGATAAGCAGATATAAAAACCAAGACTGATTCAGAGAAGAGACAAAATAAAACATAAAAATAGATAATAATAAACAGAGTTAATGCTGGAAGGCGCTGGATGCAGGCCGCAACCAATCGTGCGATGTGGAAATAATTGGGGGAGGTCTATATTCAGCAGACGACGTCCTGTGGCTGAAATGATGATGATGAATCTTACGTGAAGTCGCAGACGGCACTGCCTTGCTTCTCATCAAGGGTGACCGTGAGTACTATGGGGGTCCCATTGTCCATATATTCGGTCGCTTTCAGCACGGTGGAACCAGTCTTTTGAAGAGCGTTCCTAGCTATCTCCTTTATAAAAGAAAATTGTTGTTTTTAATTTTTTACATTCAGTGATCTAAAAAAAGAGATACAACCATATCGAGTTAACAGCGCATCTGGCTGCGGTGACGTCACATCGACGCTCTGGTAGGGAGAGCCTTCCAGTGTGGTGCGCAATTAACTCAATCGGATTGTAAGAGTTGTCCCAAAGTTGTTATCATGATATCCATTTTGACTTTTAATTAAATGATAAAAACTCATTTATTTCTGTAAATTAGGCTTTAAAAAAGCACTTTTACACGTCCCAGTATTAACCCTACCACAGCTTCGGGACAATAAATGGGCCAGTGCTGAGAAGAAGCAGCGCAAGAAACTCAGTCACTATTGTCAGCCTCTACAGGTAAGCGCTAAACGATGGCTGTCGTTTTAGCACTTACCTGTAGAGCAGCGGTTCCCGAATGGTGGTCCGCGGAACCCTGGGGTTCCGTGGAAAGGCCGCAAGGGTTCCGTAAAAAATATTTCCCACGTTTAGTGACCGACGTTGTTTGCTCGCACCGACTTGTTTACGCACAAGGGAGGGGCAGGGCGTGCGGGCGGAGTAGTACGGGGGTTCCGCTAGGAAAAGTATAATCAATTAGGGTTCCTTGGCAAAGAAAAATTGGGAAACCCTGCTGTAGAGTAAGGTCCTGTCACTCAAAAGTGCGATAAAAACGATAGCCCTGATCACTGTATTTTGAACTTTATTGAAACCACATTTTCAAACAGAAGATAACATACCTTGAGCATATCTCTGACCGCAAGCTCAGCGTTCTTCTGTATATGAGTCATGTACGCTTGAACCACGTCCAGACCGTAATGGTCTATCAATTCACCCACTAGTTGGATACCCTGAAAACATTGCAAACATTATTTTAGTAAACGCTTATTATTGAAAATGAACTTTTAATTACTTGAGAGTTGAGACACAACATGTGTTTCTAGACATCTTAGGCTTGGTTGCACCATCTTACTTTAACTTTGAGAAACGTCAAACTCCACGCAATAAACACCGGTTATCGTTATAGTTACGGTCAAAGTTAGGTGGTGCAACCAGCCTTAGAATTATCTCGGCACACTATTCCAAACACCTTAGGGTAGCCTTTCGAACTAAGCGTCACAGACACAGCGTCTTTGGCTTTGGTCTTGTGCCACCAACGCCGCGTCGCTAACTCGCTTCGAAAGGCTACCTTTATGACCAAAGCTAAAGACGCTGCGTCTGTGACGCTTAGTTCCAAAGGCTACCTTTAGAAAAGACATACTTTCTTACCACTAGGTGTAAAAAAAGAAATTATAGCCTGACCAGGAACATAAAAACCCTGGCATAGAGGCGCGTCAATTGCATTTGATAGTGCAACACTGAGTACAGTCGTACCTGTGTTAAATTAATAGGCTAACTTTATGTATCTGGATTCAGGATTACGGGCTAATTTGATATTTTCATAAATTAACGAAAAAATATTATTACAGGTGATTTAAATAAATTAAATGAAACCATCAATCGAGCTAGTAGAATTTATTTTATTATTTATCAATAATCAAATTCAGAACTTGAATATTCAACTGCAATGTCTGCTCATGAACGCTTCAAACTCGGTACTTCTTTCCCAATCCCATAAAATTCAACACTTAGAAAGTGACAAAAAATTTTAAAATAGGTAGTTGAAACAAACCACAGCTAATTTTCACAGTGGACTGTACTATACAGAGAGCAGAAATAACAGGAGTGGAACTGACAGGCAATCCCCTCTAGCAATGTAAGTAGACCAGTGGTTCACTCAGTTTATAAAAACTAGTTGCAGCGCCACCAATGACATATTCCAAATGTCACTATTGAAGAGTAACGTGCTGCGATAAAAATGGTGAATTGCAGTGTTTTTAATTGTAAGAAGAGATCTGAAACATCAAATCTTGAAAAGGACAACATTACATTCCATCGGTAAATATTATTTTATTTATTTCACATTAATTAATACACTAAATTTGCAAAAAACTAAATTTCTAGAAGTGTTGCCACTGGAATGACTGGAAAGCAAAAATTCTTAATTGTGTAATATTTTAAGGATAGTGTACTTATCCCAACTATCCCAACTAATATTATAAATGCGAAAGTAACTCTGTCTGTCTGTCTGTCTGTCTGTCTGTCTGTTAAACATGTCAGTCAATTTGACAACCTTTGTCGGAAACATTATTCAATGAAAATATTGTCCTAACCCTTAGTATTTCTCTTCGACAAATACTTTAACACATTGTAAACCACTTTTCTTTCACGACTATAAAAATATTTTGCCAATTTAATTCATAAAACGAATTGCGCACATTTAAAATAAAGTTTGTTTACACTTTGACAGCAATAGACTGACATGCAAGGTGACATGTCAATGAAGTTTTCAGTTACTGTTGCCATTAAAAGAAATTAGTACCATTAGTTTTCCGCAACATGGCGAGGGTTTTTATGTTCCTGGTCAGGCTATTGGGAACGTGCACGACACTAGCGCCATCTGCCAACGAAACTTTAAGGGGCATATGTCAAAAAATAAATAACAACAGCTTTCTTATTTTTATTGATTAGAGTAAATAAAATATACTTTAAAAGACAATAAATGGTACGTTGAATGGAATTTGATAAAAACTGTTTACGGAGAAATGGACGTCATTATAAAAACTGGTTTTGAGTGTGTAAAACACACATTATGTTTCCAACCCCAAACTCAGCTAAAAGGAAAAAAATTGGTGCTAGCAGAGCATGTGAGGAATGTAGAAGAGCTGAGAACTAATGGCAATAGTTATTTATTGAGCCACCATCATTCGTCAAACATCGGTGACCTCGACACCCTATAAAACAAGTTTAAACGTAAGTACTCACCTAACCTAAAAATATGACTAAAGATTTAGAGAAAGTAATAAAATTAATATTCATTGCATTTATTACAGATCGATCATGCTAGGGTTGTCACAGGAGTAAAATGCAGCTGCGTTTATAACCAGAGCAGCAAGTGCAAACATGTTGCTGCTTTAATATATGTTGCATTAACAACAAAGTTAGTAATTTAAAAACGAGCATCGAACATCAATGGGGAGAACCCATTATTCGTCAATTTGGAGCTTGTAAATATTCCAAAGGGAGCTATTTTCAAGATATGTTTGGATCAGTATCTAAGACTGACTATTGTGAACCACAATCTATATTACGTCAAATATCTCCAATTTATGCTAACTTCTTATGTTTGGATGTGTTGCAGTAATGATACTGATAAGAAAGTGTTAATTTAATATTATAATGATAAAAATATAAGTGCAGAACTTTATAAAATAAAAAACAGTTATGTTTTTCGACAGTTGAATTTTATTTACCTTTTACAACAGTATTACTCTTGGAAAAGATTGGAGGCTGTAAATTAACTAAAACACAACATACATGTACAATATCATCAATAAAATTGAATAAATTAACACAATCACATTAAAATCAAAACAACATTGACAATGACAAGACAAGTTTGTTTGCTTCCCTTGCCCATAATGTTACACATTTGTGCCGCGACGAGCGCAGCGATCGTTTTCTTTACCCCTTCCACCCACTTCGCACGTTCCCAATTATTGGGAACGTGCACGACACTAGCGCCATCTGCCAACGAAACTTTAAGGGGCATATGTCAAAAAATAAATAACAACAGCTTTCTTATTTTTATTGATTAGAGTAAATAAAATATACTTTAAAAGACAATAAATGGTACGTTGAATGTAATTTGATAAAAACTGTTTACGGAGAAATGGACGTCATTATAAAAACTGGTTTTGAGTGTGTAAAACACACATTATGTTTCCAACCCCAAACTCAGCTAAAAGGAAAAAAATTGGTGCTAGCAGAGCATGTGAGGAATGTAGAAGAGCTGAGAACTAATGGCAATAGTTATTTATTGAGCCACCATCATTCGTCAAACATCGGTGACCTCGACACCCTATAAAACAAGTTTAAACGTAAGTACTCACCTAACCTAAAAATATGACTAAAGATTTAGAGAAAGTAATAAAATTAATATTCATTGCATTTATTACAGATCGATCATGCTAGGGTTGTCACAGGAGTAAAATGCAGCTGCGTTTATAACCAGAGCAGCAAGTGCAAACATGTTGCTGCTTTAATATGTTGCATTAACAACAAAGTTAGTAATTTAAAAACGAGCATCGAACATCAATGGGGAGAACCCATTATTCGTCAATTTGGAGCTTGTAAATATTCCAAAGGGAGCTATTTTCAAGATATGTTTGGATCAGTATCTAAGACTGACTATTGTGAACCACAATCTATATTACGTCAAATATCTCCAATTTATGCTAACTTCTTATGTTTGGATGTGTTGCAGTAATGATACTGATAAGAAAGTGTTAATTTAATATTATAATGATAAAAATATAAGTGCAGAACTTTATAAAATAAAAAACAGTTATGTTTTTCGACAGTTGAATTTTATTTACCTTTTACAACAGTATTACTCTTGGAAAAGATTGGAGGCTGTAAATTAACTAAAACACAACATACATGTACAATATCATCAATAAAATTGAATAAATTAACACAATCACATTAAAATCAAAACAACATTGACAATGACAAGACAAGTTTGTTTGCTTCCCTTGCCCATAATGTTACACATTTGTGCCGCGACGAGCGCAGCGATCGTTTTCTTTACCCCTTCCACCCACTTCGCACGTTCCCAATATGTAAGGTACAGACAACATCTTTTGTTAAACAATGTGGCATCTTTAGGCAGGATTCACATTGACCGGCGCGAGTCGGCGCACAGAGCAGCGTCCGTTCGGCCAAAAAATACGCTCGGGGACTGGCTTCCGACGCATGTTCGCTCATCATTGTAAGCAATTACGACTCTAAGAACTGTTAATAAAATAATATTTTCTTTACGGCCGTGTAAGTGCGCTCCGTCCGACGCGCGCCCGTCAATGGGTGTAGTCCCTTAGGTGTTATTTTGCAATGAAAAATAAAAGTGTGAGGTATAGAGTAGGTATGTAGGTATTGCTTTTATTTACTTACCCTTTGGTTAGCAGCTACTTGTGCTTTCAAATCTGAAAGGTTGTCAGCCAGATTCCTTGTCCCAGAGCAGCCTGGTTCCTTGCCTGGCTTCATGAGTCCTACAGAGAGAAGAAAGAAATAAGTTTAGATTCATATTCGTAAATATCGGGCGAGGTTTATTTTAAGGCGCTGGTCACAAGAGTGCCTGAGTGCCTTTCCGTAGGTTACAATCACTAGTCACTAATGGGTCAACAAAAGTTTGGAGAGAGAAAGAGACAGCAACAATATTTAAACAGAGACAGCAACAATATGTAAACAGAGAGAGCAGCAAGAGCATTCTTTAGTCTCAAGTGATTTAAGAGAGCGACTCACCTTGTGTGAGCTCTTTAGCTATACATATGTATTATTAGCTTATCCCTATATGGCGGGCTGGTCTTGAGGTCTGGTCACTTTTGATGGATCTAGTCATCAAATAGAGGACAGCAGCGCCTCGAGTTAAGTAACTAAGGGTAAATTACTAAAACTATGGCGTGTGCAGATTGTGACGTCGCCATACATTTGGCGAACGACTCTCGTAAGTTCTACGAATGAACCACTAATTGCCCGCGTATTCCCCACGTACTCCCCGCTTATTCCCCACGAACACCTCACGAATGTCCCGCGTATTCCCCACGTACGCCCCGCTTATTCCCCACGAATGCCCCACTTACGCCTCACGAATGCCCCGCGTATTCCCCACGCACGCCCCACTGACCTTCAACCAGCTGCTCCTCACTGAGCCGTGGGCCGCAATCGCAAAAGTTACTAGCATGACGGACGCTTCTACAGCAGTTGTTCATAAAAGTTTGAAGACAGAACGAGACAGCGACAAAATTAAGACAGAGACGGCAATAAGAAACTTACACTACGAAGAATATTCGGAGCAGTTCCAATTTAGCAGCGGCATTATCTTAGTCACTTAGTGTCCGACCGAATATGGATTTTCAGCCGAAAACGGAAACGAAAACGAAGCTTCGGCTGCAGTCTCATTTTCGGCCGAAAACGAAAACGACCTTCAACTCTCAAATTTCAATCTGAAATTATGTAAAAACTTTGAAAACCGTTAATGTTTTGACCAAAAACATAATGACGTTTGACAGTTGATTTTGATAGATTGATTATAGAATACTGGGAAATGAAGAAGAAATAAAGGGTGTCCAGTGGGAATTTTTTAACTTCAAAAATGAATACAAATAAATTAATGATTTTTTATTATTTATTACTAATGCAAACTGGAGTTTAACAATGTGGATTAAATTTTTTATAGGCAATGTCTTTTAAATGATGCCCGTTTTACTATAGGCACTCTCACAGTCGGACCCTTACATTCGCAACTATGCGAGAGCAAATCGGGCTAATAATTTTCCTGCAACTTCACGGCGGATATTTTCTTACAGAACCTGAATTATTTAAGGATTGTTTGCTGTAAACTTTTGACTTGAGATATTCCCACAAGAAAAAGTCGCATGGTGTGAGATCTGGTGACCGAGGCGCCTAGGGTATGTCCCTGTACTTGCTGATCATTTATTTGAAAAAAAAAAAAAGTCCTCAGTGTCTCCATCGAGGTACTCTCCGTGTGTGGTGAGACACCTTCTTGCTTAAATAGAGTTACGTAGTTGACCGGGATGCAGTTGCAGTTGTGGTATCAGACATTCATCGATCATTCGACAATACATTTCAAATACTTATTGCTCAACTGCGAACGCTCTGTAGGCACCAGTGACTCATGGCGTATTATTTTGAAACAATTAAACTTAATGAAAACTCTTTGGGTTTATTGTATTCAATTTTGAACTTGGAAAATTGTTGCTGGACACCCTTTACAACGTAACCTCACTTCACAACTTCAAAAGAGTGTGACAATACCGCGTCCGTTCAAGTCTGATTGGAACCATGAGTGCACCAGATGCACTCCCGAAGATATCGGAACGATAAACGTCACCATCTTATTCACGTATTTTTGATATTCGGTTTGGCCGAAGCTTCGGCTGGTTTTTGGCCGAAAACGAAAATATGGCCGAATGTCCATTTTTTGGCCGAAAATGGCCGAAAACGAAAACGAAAACGAATATTCGGTCGGTCACTAATTCAATCATACCAGTGTTTCTACCATGTGGGTCGAAATCACATGGCACTGACGCATCCAAAAGAAAGAGACTGTTACAAGATTTAGACAGAGACAACAACAAGACCGTTTCGTTTACGTTAATATCTAACTAGAGCCTGGCGTGGGTCACAATCACAAGTCACTGATGGGTCTTCAGTTGTTTGAAGATACAGGGTGTCCCAAAAACAATGGATAACCCTGTAACCATCGATAGGCCTCGCCATGGTCTCCCTAACGTCCAATTTTGACCCCAGTAAAAATATCACCGTTTTCAAGATTTTTAAGTTTTTGTGCATTTTTAGAAAATTGCCACCTGCGATTACTTTTTCTCATGCCATTTCTACAAATGAGGATACTTTTCAATCTAGTTTTTTTCCTCATCACAAGGGATAGTTGGGCTATCAAAAGAAAATATCAAAGTTCAACAAACTAGTTTTGAAAGTATGAAAATTTTAAGAAATTGCAGAAGTGAAGGAAAAATTAATTCATTGTCTTGCACTTTTGATCAGCCATCGTGTAAAAAAAATCTAGGAAGACCATCGTGCCCATTACCTTAAAAACTTCCTTGGTTAATTGAGATTCTAAAAAGGTATCACAAGCCTATGTATCCTGTATTATTTTTATCTTATGGCTACTTGAATAGCAACTAGTATGAAAACTGCAAAAATGAGTTTTTCTCGTAATAGTTAAACTAGGACTGCATAGTGGCATTAAATACAAATGGATACTTTTTAGCGTAGGAATTTAAATAAAGCAACATTTTATCATCATCATCATCATCATTTCAGCCGTAGGACGTCCACTGCTGAACATAGGCCTGTACCCTAATGATTTTCATAATGACCGCTTGGTAGCGGCCTGCATCCAGCACCTTCCTGCTTACCTTAATGAGGTCGTCGGTCCACTTTGTAGGTGGACGTCCTACGATGCGCTTTCCGGTACGTAGCCTCCACTTGGACCCTGTTGCCCCATTGGCCGTCCGTTCTGCGTTTTTGTGATTACTTATTTTTTGTTTTCCACCTTATAAATGTGCCTATAGACAGATGCCCGTGATGATACACGGCTCGGAAACGTGGATTTTTTGCACAGCGTGCTATGGAAGGGGCTATGCTCGGGTTTCTTTACGAAACCGTATCAGAAATTAGGAGACCTGTAAACGAACTAAAGTCGCTAACATAGCCCGACGGATCAGCAAGCTGAAGTGGCAAAGGGCAAGGCACAGTAGTTCGCAGAACTGAGGCAGCAGGGTTCAAGTGGAGGCTACGTACCGGAGAGCGCATCGTAGGACGTCCACCTACAAAGTGGACCGACGACCTCATAAAGGTAAGCAGGAAGGTGCTGGATGCAGGCCGCTACCAAGCGGTCATTATGAAAATCATTGGGGTACAGGCCTATGTTCAGCAGTGGACGTCCTATGGCTGAAATGATGATGATGATGATGATAAAATGTTGCTTTATTAAAATTCCTACGCTAAAAATTATCCATTTGTATTTGATGCCACTATGCAGTCCTAGTTTAACTATTACGAGAAAAACTCATTTTTGCAGTTTTCATACTAGTTGCTATTCAAGTAGCCATAAGATAAAAATAATACAGAATACATAGGCTTGTGATACCTTTTTAGAATCTCAATTAACCAAGGAAGTTTTTAAGGTAATGGGCACGATGGTCTTCCTACATTTTTTTTACACGATGGCTGATCAAAAGTGCAAGACAATGAATTAATTTTTCCTTCTCTTCTGCAATTTCTTAAAATTTTCATACTTTCAAACTAGTTTGTTGAACTTTGATCTTTTCTTTTGATAGCCCAACTATCCCTTGTGATAAGGAAAAAAACTAGATTGAAAAGTATCCTCATTTGTAGAAATGGCATGAGAAAAAGTAATCGCAGGTGGCAATTTTCTAAAAATGCACAAAAACTTAAAAATCTTGAAAACGGTGATATTTTTACTGGGGTCAAAATTGGACGTTAGGGAGACCATGGCGAGGCCTATCGATGGTTACAGGGTTATCCATTGTTTTTGGGACACCCTGTATAAAAAAGACAGCAGTAAGAGCATTCTTTAGAGCGTAATCCCGACTGACTTAAGAGTCACTAACTTTTAGTGAGCTTCTTATGACTATAGAGCGGGGTTACCTTGAGTCTAGACGCATTTAATGGATCATATTACACGAGATAATGGAAAGCAGAGCCTAGAATATAGGAACTAGGATAAATTCTTTATAGATAGCTACGCAACGTGAGCGGGCTGTGACATCTACGTCATACTTTTATCGAACGCCCCACGTAAGTCCCACGTACGCCCCATGAATGCTCCACTCAAGTGACCTGCTGTCGTAAGTTTCCCGCGTAAGCCCCACGTACGCCCCACGAATGCCCCGCGAATTCCCCACGTACGCCCTGCGTATTCCCCACGTACGCCCCACTAATGTCCCGCGTATTCCCCACGTACGCCCCACCAAAGCCCCTCGTTTTCCCCACGTACGCCCCACTGACCTCCAACCAGCTGCTCCTCATTGAGCCGCCCCCCGTCCACGAGCAGGAGCGAGCGGAAGGCCGCGCCCTCTTGCGCCAGCGCGGCCGAGTGCGGCGGCATCGAGCCCGGCGTCAGGCCGCCGATGTCTGCGTGTGACGCGGGACGCTAAGGCAATACGTACCTTAAGGCGACGGGCACAAGAGTGCTTTTGCCATGGGTCTACATAGTCTACCTACAATCTTAAGTCACTAACAGAGACAGAAAAAGACAGCAACACCATTTAGACAAAGAAAGCACTAAGAAAATACGCGGACGCGGGTTCAAACTTAGGACAAGATCTTATACTATCTACCTACCATGGGCCAAATTCACAAATGTCACTGACGCCTTCAAAAGAAAGAGAAAGTCATAACATTTAGACAAAGACAAGAGCAAGACACTTTATTTATTATCGTTTCGTTCCCATTAGTATCTATCTAAAGCTTATTCAACGATCTATCGAGCATTTCGATGATAGATAGTGACTTACCTTCAATCAGCTTGTCACTTTTGGATGATCTAGTCCACATGATGCATAGGCAGCTACTATTAGCACGCACGTCTCACATGCCAAATTGCCCTCTGAATATCTAACTCTGATTGTGCCTGACTCTGACCGCGCCTGACTCTGACCGCGTAAGTACCCCGCGTAAGCCCCACGTACGACTCACGAATGCCCCGCGTATCCCCCACGTACGGCCCACGAATGCCCCGCGTACTCCCCACGTACGCCCCACGAATGCTCCGTGTATTCCCCACAAATGCCCCGCGTATTCCCCGCGTACGCCCCACTGACCTTCAACCAGCTGCTCCTCATTGAGCCGCCCCCCGTCCACGAGCAGGAGCGAGCGGAAGGCCGCGCCCTCTTGCGCCAGCGCGGCCGAGTGCGGCGGCATCGAGCCCGGCGTCAGGCCGCCGATGTCTGCGTGTGACGCGGGACGCTAAGGCAATACGTACCTTAGGGCGACGGACACAAGAGTGCTTTTACCATGGGCCACAATCGCAATACCTAGTTACTAGCATGACGGACGCTTCTACAGCAGTTGTTTGTAAAAGTTTGAAGACAGAAAGAGACAGCGACAAAATTAAGACAGAGACGGCAATAAGAAACTTACACTACGAAGAATATTCGGCGCAGTTCCAATTTAGCAGCGGCATTATCTTAGTCACTAAAATCCTACCAGTGTTTCTACCTTGGGTCGAAATCACATGGCACTCACGCATCCAAAAGAAAGAGACAACTACAAGCTTTAGACAGAGACAACAACGAGATCCCGAACTCACGAATGCCCCGCGTATTCCCCACGTACGCCGCACGAATGCCCCGCGTATTCCCCACGTACGCCCCAAGAATGCCCTGCGTACTCCCCACGTACGCCCCACTGACCTTCAACCAGCTGCTCCTCATTGAGCCGCCCCCCGTCCACGAGCAGGAGCGAGCGGAAGGCCGCGCCCTCTTGCGCCAGCGCGGCCGAGTGCGGCGGCATCGAGCCCGGCGTCAGGCCGCCGATGTCTGCGTGGTGCCCGCGGGACGCTAAGGCAATACGTACCTTAAGGCGACGGCCACAAGAGTGCTTTTGGCGTGGGTCACAATCACAAGTCACTGATGGGTCACAGTAGTAGATAGAAAGAGGCGCTGGGTACCAGAGTGCTTTCACCGTGGATGCCACGACAATACATACCTTAAGGCGACGGGCACAAGAGTGCCTTTGGCGTGGTTCACAATCACAAGTCACTGATGGGTGATCAGAAGTTTGAAGACAGCAGTAACGTGTAGACAAAGACAGCAGTAAGAGCTATCTTTAGAGCGTAATCCCGACTGACTTAAGAGAGTCACTAACTTTTAGTGAGCTTCTTATGACTATAGAGCGGGGTCACCTTGAGTCTAGACGCATTTTATGGATCATATTACACGAGACAATGGAAAGCAGAGCCTAGAGTATGGGAAATAGGATAAATTCGTATAGAGCTACGCAGCGTGAGCGACTTATGATTTAGTCCTCATACTTTTTCAAACGCCCCACGTCAGTCCCACGTACGCTCAAGTGACCTGCTGTCGTAAGTTTCCCGCGTAAGCCCCACGTACGCCCCTCGAATGCCCCGCGTATTCCCCACGAACGCCCCACGTATTCCCCACGAATGCCCCGCGTATACCCCACGTACGCCCCAATTATGCCCCGCGTATTCCCCACGTACTCCCCACTGACCTTCAACCAGCTGCTCCTCATTGAGCCGCCCCCCGTCCACGAGCAGGAGCGAGCGGAAGGCCGCGCCCTCTTGCGCCAGCGCGGCCGAGTGCGGCGGCATCGAGCCCGGCGTCAGGCCGCCGATGTCTGCGTGGTGCCCGCGGGACGCCACGAAGAATACTGGACGCGGGTTCGAGCTTGGGACAAAAATAATTTGTTAGATTTCTCAACCATTTCACTTCTCCAGGACAAAGGCCTCCCCACAAGGATTTCCACAATGGCCGTTCCTGCACTCCCTTTATCCAGGTGCTTCCCGCGACCTTTACTAGATGGTTGGTCCACCGAGTGGCATTAATTAGTCTCCACTGTCAGAGCATGACCTTTTCTATATTACGAGAAGCAAATAGAAGATTTGGCCTATACCAAACTCAGACCGAATTGACAATGTCTGATGCTCCGTTTCTCCCTTAGTCGCCTCTTACAACATCCGCAGAGGAGGAACGTGGTCCTATTACAGGTATCTGGGGGCACGGCAGTGCCCCCACCAAGTCGAGCAAAAAAGCGGCACGGCCGTACCATCCTTTTCTCGAAGCAATTCAGGCCATTTTCGACCGCCTGTAACTTCGTTGTGGATAAAACTAGAAGGCTGAATTTTCATTAGCTATGCAGGCATTGTAAAGACACGGTATATTTAAAATTTCATTCAATTTGAACCAGTAGTTTAAGAATTATAACGGGTCAAAGTTACTTAATTTTGTCACTCACTGACTGACTCACTGACTCACTGACTCACCGATCATCAAAACTCTAAGGCACTTCTAGCAGACCTAGAAGCTTCAAATTTGGAATATAAGTAGTGTTTGGTGTATGAATCAAGGAAAAACTATAATATTTGGGGGCACGGTAGTGCAACCGCCAAGTCGAGTAAAATTTTTCAATTTCGGTCCAGTTTTCTAGATACATAACTGCTGTCTACAAAATACAAAAAGAAATGAGATCCCATCAAAAACAATACTTGTCAAAAAAACCAAGTCTCGCAACTCAGTTGTTCTACGGTAAAAAGTTGTGAGATCCATGTAATACCAAGTCCAGGCCAGGAAATCTTTAACGTTTTACATAAATATATTGACTTGGCCATCGCATGAAAACACGTGTAAATTAAATTATTTAGTGCGATGGCCAAGTCAATAATTTATGTAAAACGTTAAAGATTTCCTGGCCTGGACTTGGTATTACATGGATCTCACAACTTTTTACCGTAGAACAACTGAGTTGCGAGACTTGGTTTTTTTGACAAGTATTGTTTTTGATGGGATATTAATTTACAAGAGCTTTATCAAACACGGTACCTACGCGACAATAATGTAAATTAAGTATGTACGTTATTTTCTCGTTTCAGCCAAATGACGTCCACGGCTGGACAAAGGCCTCCTGCAAGGATTTCCATTTTTCCATCTATCCACATAGTGGGGGCATACCCACGCTACGTCTTCCGTACCTACATTCTTTATTGTGTCTTTATTATAAAATTAGCGTTACAATAAGGTCTTAAATTAATTACTTGATACAAATCTCACCCATAGAATACTGGAGTGATGACGGTCAAGTCCGGCAGGTGGGAGCCTCCAGCCTTCGGGTGGTTGGCCAGCAACACGTCTCCTGGCTTCAAGGAGTCTCCGCGGACCTTCATCTGGAATGGTTTTGATTGCTTTTTTATCTCTTTGACTGAAAAGGCTTTCACTATGACATTTTAAGTAGATGTAATAAATGCTATTTTGCAACAATAATTATTATGATTTATTATCTATGTAAGGAGTATATCACATGTATAAATAGTTAAGTAGTAATAAGTAGACATTCTAAAACTATGTAAGCCATTTATTTATTTATTTATTTATAGGTACAACAACAGAATACAATCTCAAACATTTTTATAGAAAAACATTAGTTTTTTTGCATTCAAATTGAATTCCTATAAATGTTGCACACAACGTTTAAATTATTATTGAGCACTTTTATTAGTTAAACAACAGAAAGTCGCATAGGCCATTAAAAACCACAAACATTTAAATGAAACTAACATATCAATTACTAGCTTTCCGCCCGCGGCTTCGCTCGCGTGGAATTTTATCTGTCACAGAAAAACAATATCGCGCGCGTATTTGCTCACCGTTTAGACACGGTAATAATATCATACAGTATTGTAACTTCATATAAACAGACGAAACGAGAACTTTCTTTCGAAATTCAAATCTCAGTATGCGCTCGGTATGCAAAAGTCGGGGGTGTCGCGAATGTGCCGAATGGACGTCGGTGGCCAAGTGTTAAAAATGACAAAACTGATTGAATTTGACTGACCGTCATTTACGGTCAAATTGGTCAGAAACTAGTCAAATTGTCATTTTCAGTCAGTTTGATTTGAAATGAAAATTATATTGTATTAAACCAGCTTTTGCCCACGACTTCGCCCGCCCGAAATTAAAGTAACAGATCATTATGATTATTAAAGTTTCAAAATTATTTAAGTAGTTTTTATTAAATTAAATGTACTAATCACAAAACAACACACATTTTTAACCTATTCTATTCACAAAGTATTTTGTTTGTCTAAGAGTGCATTACCGCAGCAAAATTTTTATAAATGTTGTGCTTTAGAGAGTCGAGAGTATAGCAGATAATTAGTCCATCGTGAGCAGAAATTTGTCCACTAATAGCAAAATTCGTTTAAAATTATAGTTTTAAAGTTATTAGGAAAAAACAGATTTTTAGTTAGAAAAAAATTGAAGTTATTAGAAAAAAATTTTTTTTTTAAAGTCGTTCTATCCCGGAACCAAATACATGGATAGATAGCTTTTGTTGCGTAGTAATTTGTCCACGAATAGCAAAATTTGTTCGTGTTCCGGATTTCAAGTTATTCAGAATTTTGCTGGGGTAATGTTTTGTGATGTCCTAGATCTCGTAAATGGCTCAACGCAGAAGTTTGAAAAAAATACCAATGATAGACCTTGATATGTCCAAATTAGTTCAAGCATTAGTCATTGATTTGAATGATAAACACCAGTGTAATTAAATGATTTCGAAAATCAGATAAAACCGATTTGTGAGTAAACCAGTACTCTTACAATCGAATAAAAAAGTGTAGCATGTACCCTTGGTACACCTTTATAACCACAGTAAATATAAATGATGTGGCTTTGCGCAAAAGAGAGATCTCAAGAAATTTAATTTATTTTAACAGTCTTACTTTCGTGGCCGAATACGCAATTCCCTTATAACAAGGGAACATGGCATACAATGGACAAATTAAAATGTTCCTTGAATAAGCTATCCTGTTAATTTCAGCTTTATATTACGGCTTATAAGAAAGTTATCGGACTGCAAAAAAATATCAGGAATTCTTCTATAAGCCGACCAAATTATAAAGGTCACAAAAAAGCGAGGTTTACTCACAAATCCGTTTTATCTGATTTTCGAAATCATTTAATTACACTGGTGTTTATCATTCAAATCAATGACTAATGCTTGAACTAATTTGGACATATCAAGGTCTATCATTGGTATTTTTTTCAAACTTCTGCGTTGAGCCATTTACGAGATCTGGGACATCACAAAACATTACCCCAGCAAAATTCTGAATAACTTGAGAACCGGAACACGAACAAATTTTGCTATTCGTGGACAAATTACTACGCAACAAAAGCTATTTATCCATGTATTTGGTTCCGGGATAGAACGACTTTCAAAAAAAAATTTGTTTTTTCCTAATAACTTTAAAACTATAATTTGAACGAATTTTGCTATTAGTGGACAATTTTCTGCTCACGATGGACTAATTATCTGCTATACTCTCGACTCTCTAAAGCACAACATTTATAAAAATTTTGCTGCGGTAATGCACTCTTTGTCTAACTAAATAAAAAATTACAATCACAAAACTAGATAGAAATTCTAAGTAGGCAGATGTAATTAATGGGTAATGTAGGTGGGCAGCCCTATCGCATGTTGTCATACTGTGACGTACCGCGCGACTGTTGACATTTATTTCAAAAATATGGCCGAGTTGGAATACTGTATAGATAGTATTACCGTGGTTTAGACCTACCCTGGACTACGACAAACATTTTAAAACCAAAATCAGCTCAATCGGCCCAGCCGTTCTCGAGTTTTAATCAGACTAACGAACACCAATTCATTTTTATTTATATAGATAGATAGATATGTATAGTTAATAATATAACGTAGTGTCAGGCCTGGCTCACTCCGCGCGGTACATCCGATAATTACCTACAGCGAAGCGCCCCGCGCCGGCGGGTATTATATCAGTCGAGTGTCACGCGCGCGCTCGTCAGGACGCTGGCGCGTGGCGTGCGTTGTAGTAGTATGATTATTATTCTATGATCGAAGTATTATTTAAAAATGGACATAAAGAGAAAGAAATATTGTGCGGCGTTCGGGTGTTTAAACGAAAAGTAATCTACCGGATTTATCTTTTTTTTTCGCTTTCCAAAGATGCTGAAAGGTATGTTGGCCATGTAGGTAATCAATAATTCTTAGGATAGTATAGGAACCTAACCTACTATGAAGGATTTCCATAATGAATGCATACTTACCTACATACGTACCTCATTACAAATAAGTAGATTAATATTTTTTCACTAGACAGCAACCCTAACAGCGTAAGAAAAGTTCAGAGGCACACGATAGAAAGAGACAAAACTTGTAGGTGAATAAAATTGTAGGTACGTAGTGCTGTGCGAGCTGAATTCCACTGTATCGCGTCGTAGCAAGACTCGCATTTATTTAAATCGTCTTGCGGAGTAATCCTTCTGTACCTGTACTATTACTTATTCTGTGGTAGTGTGTTATGGCTATTCAGTTTTTGTGATCTTCAGTAGTAAAGTTGCTAATTTTGATGTTACGTGATGTTCGAATTTTACACAATCAATAAAGAATGATTTTTTTTTACACACTGCTTTACCTGATATTGCACAGTCTCCTGCATAGCACCCAAGTGCACTGGAATGTGCGGCGCGTTGGAGACAAGCCCGCCGTCTGGCCCGAACAAGGCACACGAGAAGTCTAGGCGCTCCTTTATGTTGACTGATATGGAAGTTCTTTGAAGCACCCTGCAATTATTATTATTTATTTAGTATAGATCAGGTACCTACTATGGAATATAAGAAAGAAATGAATAAAAACAGACAAACAGAATCTTAATTACATTACATTAATACAGATAAGATTGCGTCCAAATTACTTTTTCGCTAGTTCTTCTGTCGATTTCTATTTTATTTCAGAGTCATTTCCGTGCTTTTGGAAGCTCGTTAAAAGTAGGTACTGAGTCAGAGGATTAGCCTCAGGAATTCATCATCAACATCATCATTTGAGCCACAGGACGTGCACTGATACGACCATAGCCTCCCCCAATGATTTCCACAAAGGCCGGTTTGGTAGCGGCCTGTATCTAGCATCGTCGGTCCGCCTTGTGGGTGGACGTCCTACGCTGCGCTTTCCGGTACGTGGCCTCCACTCCAGAACCTTGCTGCTCCATCGGCCGTCAATTCTGCGTACTGTGTGCCCTACCCTTAGGAGTTAAAATAGACTGAATTTGCTTTGAACTTCAAGAATAATTAGATGATATTAACCTGCCCATCTGTTCAGCAATGGACATGAACCGATGCGAGAATATGCTGAGCTGTATGGAGTCCAAGTCAGCCGTCACTTTCTTAGGTTTGCCCGACCCGATGGTTATACGAATGTCACCGTATTTGGTTATTTCAGCTCGGCAGTCTGAAAGAAGCAATAGCTGTAAAGTAGTTGTATAACGTAAAACCAACTAAAAATAGTTAACTAGTAGCATTCGTGACAGATTCAACTTCGAGGCGAAGTATTCACAAACGATGCTTGATTAAGTGAAGTAGCAAATCGAACGCACAGCGGTGAATAGAGCTCTGTGATTGGTTCGTGTGTCACCCTGTGCGTCCACGCGCACTGTGAGACCTCATAGTAATGTTTGTGAATACGGGCGTTAGTACAGTCAACAGCAAATCAGGCTATACTCTCGTTGCAAAATAGCACTTATTGCCATAACCAATGATATTATATAAAAACAAAAGCAGATATGTTATAAGCGCTCGCGCTGTGAATACTCACATACGTCCCAATAGGCTAGTTGCCTAAAAAAATTTTTTTAGTCCGTAATGTTTAATATCAAAAAATATTGGACACATATATTTTTATTTGTCAATCTAACAAATAATTACATAGTTATGGTGCGGTGGTTTGAAGTTGCGCACGACGTCACAACGAGCGGCATTTTTAAGCAAGCGTTGACGTCACGGGCCTCCTCTTATGAACTTTGGGGCGCTTTATCTCTTTAAATTTTCATTAGTTTGAAAAAGTGAAAAATACGTGTAGAGTATTTTTTGATAAGTTAACTGACGGACTAATTAAAACTCTTGCTTTTTGACCCGGGCAACATCCCCATTGGGACGTCTTGTGTTTAGTCTTCGTGTGGCCTGCGTCGTGCGCAATCGCGTGCGTACCACACCGTAAGTTCCTGTGTTCTTACCAAAATAAATAAAAATGCCATCGTGTGTGTTTCGAAAGTGTACCAATTATGACTCTAAAGTAAACAAAATACAAGGGATCTCTTACCACATGTGATTATGCAAATTTATTTAGTATTTATATTTTCAATTATTTATGCAAACAATCAAGACGCCATGCGCCATGTTCAAGTTAAGAAAGAGAAAGCGATCTTGTTTTGACGTTAGAGCGATAAGGATGCGTGCGCTGCGGACATAGATTAGTTAGTGCAGAATCGTTAAAACTATAGCTATCTCTTTCATTTGCGTGGTATTTCGTATCTTTTGTTTCACTTATCAGTTACATTTGTCAATGTGTGCAATTTGGAATAGCTCGGCACTAGTCGGCACGGATTAAAATCGTAATTTCTATGAACATAACATATCTATAGTTCTATAATATCACGTCATTGGCCATAACACATAAGGTGCTGGTTTGACTTATGTGCTGTCGTCTATAAAATTAAACTGTCACTTTGTCTAAAGACACAAGTAAATGTTCTACTATTCAGTGATGATATTGTATGACCATTGTATGACTATTTTACTAAAGTCGTGTAATTATATTGCTGTCGCGCTCGCAGTCGCGACAGCAATATAATTATGTGCGAGCTATAAAGATGGGTAGCGTCCAATGACCCCATCATTGGACGAAATTCTTTCTGCTCGGCGACCGGACTTTAGGCATATTTTGCATGCCATTCTTATCACATAGATTACGCAGTGGTTCCTCTTTGATTAACCAAATTAAGACGTTGACCAAGGTAAAATATCTACAAACATTAAACTTACTGGGCTCCACAAGTATGGTGGACAGACTGTCCATGATGATGGCAGGCCCTGGTATCTCCTGCTCGGGCTTAAGGTTCTCCAGCAGATATATCTGGGTGTCCTGGTATCCACCTTCGAAGTATACTTTCACTGACTATAAACAAATGATAGATGTTATTGAGTCGTTCATTCATTCACTCATTGAACACGAAATATCAAAAACTAGCTTTCCGCCCGCGGCTTCGCCCGCGTGGAATTTTGTCTGTCACAGAAAAACTTTATCGCGCGCGTCCTTGTTTCAAAAACCGGGATAAAAACTATCCTATGTTCTTTCCCGGGACTCAAACTATCTCTATGCCAAATTTCATCAAAATCGGTTGCGAGGTTTAAGCGGGAAAGCGTAACAGACAGACAGACAGACAGACAGACAGACAGACAGACAGACAGAGTTACTTTCGCATTTATAATATTAGTTGGGATTAGTATTTGATCTATTACGCTGAAGGTATTTCACGGGTATCTGACATAATCTAAGAGAATTTTGCAAAACAGTTAAATAAGAAATGAGTTAATCAGTTCTTCATTATAAAGAAATATTCGGTGCTAGATAAAAATAAACATAGGTGAATCCGCCGACATAATCTTGTATTCGTTTATTTGTTTCAGCCAAATGCCGTCCACTGCTAGACAAAGGCCTCCCCAAGGATTCCCACAACGACCGGTCGTGCGCTGCCCGCATCCAGGTGCTTCCCGTGACCTTCAACAGATCGTCGGTCCACCTAGTGCTCATTTACCTTTTCCGCCACCGGTTTAGTGCCTTTCCCACTAGTCGGCGCCACGGCATCGGGCACCTGACTCATGCCTACTCCACGCACCCTGATGTCATCAACCAACACGTCTCGCTCTGACAGCGTGAAGCCGAACTCGTTCTTGTATCTATTGGGGGAAAGAATATAATAGTCTGAGGTGATTATCGCAATGCGATTTGACGATGAGGATATTTGCGCTCACCAGTTGGCGCCACTATAGATTAAGGTCCTGTCACTCGCCAGTGGTGCCAACTGTTAAGTATAAAAACGATAGGAGGATTCTAGTTTATTTTCTACCAGAATAGATTAATTTTGACTCATTGAGGAGTCTCGCTATCTGATTCAAATTCGCCAGCAACCAATTCAAAAACTCTTCATCATCATGCATCATAACCAGGTCATTTTAAATTCGTGAAGTCATGACGTAGCGCGTAAAATCGTTTTAATTTTTAATAGGACCGGGCCACTTTTGACCCGTGAGCTCCAAAGTGTACAAAAATAAAATAATAATAATGTTATTGCTCCCCGGTTCGGACGCTACACTTTTCCAGTTTGTGTTCGACACTCTAGAACTTTCCTGCTCCTACGGCCATCAGTTCTACGAGCTATGTGCCCCTCCCCCTGCCACTTAAGTCCGGCATTTCGCGGGCTATATCACTTTGATTATTTCACTGATCTTTTTTCTTCTTTCTATGACACTTACCTGTCCACAAAAGCCGCATAGAAATCCCCGTGTTTGCAAGCCGTAGGCGAGTCGCCGGCAGAGGGCGCCACCATCAACGCGCAATCGGTACCCGCGTAGCGCAGGTGTAGATACGGCTCCGTCACTATTTGCGAGTCCGAGAAGCCCTGATGGGAAAGACAATGACATTCAGTATCTAGTTTGAAAAAGGGACACGTCTTTTCATCGTGAGTATAGGTTAGGTTATTAAAAGCTCTTACTTTGTCTCGTATCCCTCAGGAATTTCTACTGACTGATGTATCAGGTCAGGATCAGAGGTGCAATAGGCAAGATGACAAAATTTCAATTATTTGTCGGTCAGACAGATAATATTAGAAAATATTAGACTCATATTTTTATTTTTTGTCATAATTAAATAATAACAGTGCTACATCGAGTTCAAATGGCGCGTTACGTCACGCTTGCGTAGATTTTTTACTCAAAAGTGACGTCACGCGACATTTCAACTTAATATAATACGGTAATTATTCGATTATGAAAACCATTAAAAAATATGTGTCCAAAATTTTTTTATTATCTGTCGGACGGACTAAATAGAATTTCGATTTCATTACCCAGTCATCATCCCTATTATGTAAAGCAATCGTACTCATTTGACAGTTCAAAACGTACGATAAAATCTGTCAAACGCTTTGTTACACTTCTGATTTTATCGTACGTTTTGAACTGTCAAATGAATAAGATTGCTTTACACAATTCCACCTCAGGTACAAGAATTGCTCAAAGTTTGTCCCTGCACACAGCATCTAGCACGTCCAATATTGTTATACCTAGGATCTTACAGTTAGAAGAATAAAGAACTGTCTGTCTATGTTTTCTTGTCTCAGTGACTAGTCACTAGAACGTTCAGCTGAACTATATGGATGCTATTTTTGTAACAATAAGTTACTGTACTATTGGCAACAGTGTTAACTGCCCATTGCCAGTTATGTCATCTCGTTCTATCGCAAAGAATCACCATTTGATTCGAGCGAGAGCAAAAACGGAAATGGATAGTTAACAGTGTGGCCGTGTGTACCTGTGCTCTAAGCTTATTCCTGCAGACAGCCGCCAATACATCTAATTGTGTGTCAATCTGCTGGAAGCTGTCGCGACAGTACACCGCCGCGCACGGTTGTTGGGCCTCGTGCACCTTATGCAGTTGTAATAGACACCATATTGCAACAACTGTACCTGTGCTCTAAGCTTGTCCCTGCGACTGACGCTAGAACGTCCAGCTGAGCTGGATAAAAGAAAGAATAAAAGTGCTAAAAGTTTCCTAGACTTGCAAGAATAAAGGTACTGTACCTGTGGTCTAAGTTTGTCCCTGATACTGCCATTAGAACGTCCAGCTGAGCTATATAGATAGATGCTGTTTTTCAACAAGAATGTAAGTATCACAAGAGCACAGTAGTTCAGCTGAGCTATATGGATGATGTTTTTGTAACAATAAGGCACTATACCTGTGCTCTAAGCTTGTCCCTGCAGACAGCCGCCAATACATCTAACTGGGTGTCAATCTGCTGGAAGCTGTCGCGACAGTACACTGCCGCGCACGGTTGTAGGGCTAATGCCATGCCGTACGCTGATGGTATACCTATGATCTACAGCATCTTATATAGTTGTAATAGATGCCATATAGCTAAAGCAACGTAGGTAAAAAAAGACTACTGTATTTGAGTTTGTGTCTTTATACAGTCGCTAGCACAAAAATCATAAAATTCATTTATTTTTGCAAATAGGCTTTTAAAAAGCACTTTTACACGTCCCAATATTAACCCTACCACTGCTTCGGGACAATAAATGGGCCAGTGCTGAGAAGAAGCAGCGCAAGATACTCAGTCACTATAGTCAGCCTCCTTTTCAAGGGTTTACAGTCTTTAAAATATACACATTATAGTCATAAGTATTGATGCGAGCTAGGTAGTTAAACATTCCAAACATTTTTATCTTTTATATAATCATCAACTTTATACCTTTCTAGCTAGAATCGTAAGAGTTAGAGGAATAAAGAACTATAACTGTGCTCTTTTGTCCCTGTGACTAACGCTATAATAAGGTACTGTACCTGTGCTCTAAGCTTGTCCCTGCGACTGACGCTAGAATGTCCAGCTGATCTAAATGGATGCTGTTTTTCAACAAGAATGTAAGTATCACAAGAGCACTGTACCTGTGCTCTAAGCTTGTCCCTGCAGACAGCCGCCAATACATCCATCTGGGTGTCAATCTGTCGCGACAGTACACCGCTGCGCACGGCTTTTGGGCCGGGCACCTTATACAGAACTTGTATTAAACGCCATTTTGCTACAACAACAACTAGCGCCATGTCGTACGCTGACAGAATACCTACTTAGGATCTACAGCATCTTACGCAGTTGTAGTAATAGATGCCATATTGTAAATGTGAGGAAAATGGGAAGGTACTGTACCTGTGCTCTCCTATCCCTGTGCCTGCCGCTAGAGCGTTCAGCTGAGCTATATGGATGATGTTTTTGTAACAATAAGGCACTGTACCTGTGCTCTAAGCTTGTCCCTGCAGACAGCAGCCAATACATCTAACTGTGTGTCAATCTGCTGGAAGCTGTCGCGACAGTACACCGCCGCGCACGGTTGTTGGGCCTCGTGAACTACGTGCGCTAATGCCATGCCGTACGCTGATAGTATACCTAGGATCTACCTACAGCTTCTTATGCAGTTGTAATAGATGCCATATTGCAACACTGTAATGTAGGTACAGCAAGTATGAGGTACTGTACCTGTGCCCTATGATTGTCCCTATAGACAGCCGCTGGTATGTTTAATACCCTTAAGAATAGTTTTTTAAACTTACAAGAGTAGGATTCTGTACCTGTGCAATGCTTGTCCCTGTGACTGACGCTCCAGCTGAGCTAGATAGATGCTGTTTTTCAACAAGAATGTAAGTATCACAAGAGCACGGTACCTGTGATCTAAACTTGTCCCTGCAGATAGCCGCTAAGCGTCCAGCTGTGTACCTAAGCACTGTGGTTATGCTCAGAGTTTTTCATTACAAACAGCCGCTAGCATGTTCTTAACACCTTCATACCTAGAATCTTCGTTCGTTCGTTTGTTTCAGCCAAATGACGTCCACTGCTGGACAAAGGCTTCCCCCAAGGTTTTCCACAATCTAATCACCTAGAATCTTATAGTGACAATAATAAAGGTACTATACCTGTGCTCTAAGTTTGTCCCTGCAGACAGCCGCTAACACGTCCAGCTGTGTATCAATCTGCTGGAAACTCTCAGGACAGTACACCGCCGCGCACGGCTGTTGGGCCTCGTGAACTACGTGGGCTAATGCCATGCCGTACGCTGATAGTATACCTGGGGGGTTTGATAGAGCTGGTTACATATTGTTAACTTCAAAAAATCTGAATGTTAGTAGAATATTCGTAATTTATAGCAAATTGGCCGCCGCTGTTCAGTGTTACTATTGTAATAAATGTCATTCGTAAGACAGGTAGGGATTTTCCGTCAATTTGGGAGGAAACGACAAATTAGAGTAGGCGCACGCCGTTGATTTTTCGTCGGCCGATAGTTTAGTCGGGCAGTTGATCAGTATGGGCATGTATGGGAGTGCGCACACTACGCCGATTCGATTTGGCCGATTCTTCATACAATTTAAAATCGAGCACAACTATCGGCCAACTAAAAATCAACGGTGTGCGCCTACGCGTCTCGATAGAACGGAGGTTACTACTAAGGCTAGTAGATTTTGTTGTAAAATGATAACTAAAGAAACACTGGCTTTTTTGCACGACTTTGCGAAAAGTCTTTACCTAACATAACCCTCTTTCAAAAATCGGGATATAAACTATCCTTTTTTTAATATCTGTAAACGCTTAACCGGTACAGTGTTATAAGAGTGAGCAAGTAAGACATTTACATTCGCATAAAGGCCTATTCAGACCTAAGCGGTATTCGCTACCGTCCGCGGCAGAGAAAACCCTGTGGGTATGCGGTAATAATACTGTTCAGACCTAAGCGGTATTGCCGCGGTACTTGATACTAAATACCTGAGCGAAACCCTCGCGGTATGAACCTCTACCCACAGCGGTAGCGAATATCGCTCAGGTTTGAATAGGCCTTTAAGACGCGGATGTGAAACTGGGAGCAACGACCCAGTTTCACATTGATACACTTGTCGATATTTTCATATACTCGTATTTCACTCGTACCTGCGTATTTGTGTATTAACACAGTGGCTATCCCCAGCTGTCGAGCCACGGCGCACGCGTGTTGACCGCCCGCGCCGCCGAAACATGCCAGCGCGTGATGCGACGCGTCGTGCCCTCGAGCCGTGGTAAGGGCTCTGGAAATGTCAATGACCATACTAAACTGCCATTTAAAACTAGATTACGTAAGGCTTTACAACAGTGGATTTAAATCTACATCGTAAAACATATTCAAAACTGATGATTGATAGTCCTTCGAGCCGGACTTTTTCTTGTCGTGTCGACAAAAAACCTACACAAGTGTCACTGTCAGCCCAAAACTCCGCCACAAGAGTGGCATTGTCTTTCATTAAATCTTCCTGCGTGCTGCGTGCTGGACTTATTGAACTTTATTCAGATATACTAGCTTTCCGCCTGCGGCTTCGCCCGCGTGGAATTTTGTGTCACAGAAAACCTTTATCGCGCGCGTCCCTGTTTCAAAAACCGGGATAATAATCCTATGTCCTTTCCCGGGACTCAACCTATCTCTATGCCAAATTTCATCAAAATCGGTTCGTGGTTTATACGTGAAAGCGAAACAGACAGACAAACAGCGTTACTTTCGCATTTATAATATTAGTATAGATTTTTATACATAATTATTTAATTTTTATTTATTGATTAACTTATGTTTCATGGAACTTAATGATATGTTTAGTTAGAGTACTAATAACACATTCCGTTTACCTGATCGGTCGGCACATAGCTTCGTTGGCAACATTGATGAAGCCCATGGCAACTTCTTCCATGCTCATCTGAAACATGCAGAAAAATCATCAGTTACTTTTCAAAACTACTCTTACTTAATCAATTTATCTGTTTTTTAAATTTTACCTGTTTTCCACCATCTTCTTTCAGGAAACCATTGATGTCATCGGTCATCTTCTTGAAGGCTGCGACGGTTGTATCTTTGTCCAGAGGCTCGTTTTCGTTGCGTCCAAATATCTTAGGGAAGTACTCGGGGAGCAAGCGGCCTGTGACAAAAAACAAGTAGATAATACAATCAGCTGTGTGTACTTTATATATTCGTGCTATTTTGTACAATTCAAATAACAGGTGGTTAGTATCAGTGACAGCTATTCCTCTAGCAGAATCGACCCCCTCTCCCTTCCTAGAACAGAATCGACTCCTTTCCCCTTCCTCGAGCAGAATAATAGTAATCTGCAGTCTCTTTAAGATATCTTTCCTCATACTAACTAGCTTAAATAATGCACTAACAAGAGTTNCTAAAACATAATGAAAAATCTAAAAAAAAACATAATTGAGATAAAAGTAAGTAGTTTTTTTTTAAATACCTCGTAAATCGTAAACCGCTTATTACCGCGTAATCTTTCATACTAATAACTTAAATAAAAAATAATAATTTTAATTTCATAAATCAATGGTACGGAACCCTTTGTGCGTGAGTCCGACACGCACTTGGCCGGTTTTTTAAACACACGATGCAAACTCACACTCAGCCCACTGATCTAAAGAACATTAGATCCACCCTCTTGCAATTACTCTAAATCCTTTCCAACATTATAGTAGCATACCCAGCAACAGGTTTGCGTCGGTGACAGTCAAGGGCCCTCCCTTCCTGTAGCAGGCGGGCCCCGGCTCGGCCCCTGCGGACTCGGGCCCCGCCACGAAGAGCCCCGACTTGAAGAATAGCATTGACCCACCGCCTGCAGCCACTGTGTTGATATCTTTTCTCACACTAACTTACCAAGAAACAGGTTAGCATCAGTAGCAACCAAAGGTCCCTTTCCTGTAGCAGAATCGACCCCGTCGTCCTTCCTAGAGCAGAATCGACCTCCCGTCCCTTCCTATAGCAAACTCAGGTCCCACTACGAAAAGCCGCACCCTACAGCCTCTGTATAATATCTTTGCCATGCTATAATACTAAGGTACACTCGTACCAATAATCGTTAGCATCAGTGACAGACAAGCCCCCTAAATTTAGCAGACTCACTCCCCCCCCCCCCCATTTTCTATCAAGATCCATCCCCTTGCAGTCACTGTAAATCTTTTCCCACACTATAGCTTACCAAGCAACAGGTTAGCGTCAGTAACTGTCAAGGGCCCTCCTTTCCTGTAGCAGGCGGGCCCCGGCTCGGCCCCCGCGGACTCGGGCCCCGCTACGAAGAGCCCCGACCTGAAGAAAAGCATTGATCCACCCCCTGCGGCCACTGTGTTTATGTCTTTTCCCACACTAACTTACCAAGAAACAGGTTAGCATCAGTAGCAACCAAAGGTCCTTTTTATCTAGCAGAATCGACCCCATACCCCTTCCTAGAGCAGAACTATACATATCCCCCTTCTAAAGAAGAATCGACCTCAGCCCCTTCCTATAGCAGACTCAGGTCCCACTACGAAAAGCCGCACCCTACAGCCTCTGTATAAAATATTTGCCATACTATAGTACCTTACCAAGCAACAGATAAGCATCAGTGACAGTCAAGCCCCCCCCCCCCCCCCCCCCCCCCCCCCCCCCCCCATTTTCTATCAAGATCCATCCCCTTGCAGTCACTGTAAATCTTTTCCCACACTATAGCTTACCAAGCAACAGGTTAGCGTCAGTGACAGTCAAGGGCCCTCCTTTCCTGTAGCAGGCGGGCCCCGGCTCGGCCCCTGCGGACTCGGGCCCCGCCACGAAGAGCCCCGACCTGAAGAACAGCATTGATCCACCCCCTGCGGCCACTGTGTTGATGTCTAGAATAAAAGAAACTTTTATTACAAACTAGCTGACCCGGCGAACTTTGTTCCGCCTTAATGGCAATAAATAAGCAGACTTTTTTTTTAATTTCGAACGGGATAAAAAGTATCCTATGTCCTTCTCCTGGCTCTAAACTACCTCCCTGACAATTTTAAGCTAAATCGGTTCAGTCGTTCTTGAGTTAAAAGCGAAGTAACTAACACGACTTTCTTTTATATATATAGAAGATACGAATTAAATACATCTTCTTCCCACACTACGTCTTCTGGCTCGTGGTCGCCACTCGAGAACTTTTCTGCCCCAGCGGCCATCACTATGCGAGCTATGTGCTCCGCCCTTAATTCTAGCCTAGACTAGGTGGACCGACGATCTGCTAAAGGTCGCGGGAGGTGCCTGGATGCGGGCGGCGCAGGACCGGTCGTTATGGAAATCCTTGGGGGAGGCCTTTGTCCAGCAGTGGACGTCATTCGGCTGAAACGACGACGACTTTTTCTTATATTGTTTATGGCCAGGTCTGGGATATTACGGCCCATATGGTGACCTCTCCAATGAGTTCCGGTCATTGCATTTTCAACCATAGCGTTAAAACTATAAGGTGCATTATTATTCTCGACCTAAAAATCCCTTGCCGTGTTGTCCCGATAATGTACGCAGTCCCTAAAGCTTCATCCACACCAACGATGGCGATCTGTACCTACGCGTTGGTGTGGTTGAAGCATAAGGGTTTTAAAAAACTGTATCAAGTGCCTGTATAGTCTGGTCCGTGAGCACGTAGAATTTTGTCCAATGACCCCAAGCTACCCATCCTTATCGCTCGCGCGTAATTTTATTGCTATCGCGCTCGCACACTCACTGCAGGTGCCAGTCGCACAGTCGCGACAGCAATATAATTACGCGCGAGCGATAAGGATGGTTAGCTAGGGGTCATTGGACAAAATTCTACGTGCTCACGGACCGGGCTTTAGACAAAGTGACATTCGTGATTGATTGTAACAAAGATTTAAAAAAATTATGCTTGTAATTCTTACCTAATTGTGGGGCCTGTATGGTGACGCCGGCTGTGGTGGCCTCGTGCACGTGTTCCAAAGATCCTGCATACCGCGACACGTCTGTAGATGTACCGCCCATGTCGAAACCTGCCAGGATATAAACAAAAGAATTTTAGATGTATCTGTCACCGTTAGATTACAAACATCGTTCGATTACAATCTATCTCGTGAGATTGTAAACTGTCGAAAAATTGTGAACCGTAACATATGATTGCAATTTAACGCATTATTTTTCGCTATATTGTAATCTATCGAAGTGAAACTGTAAAATTACAATCTGTCCCGCGTCAAATTGTCAACTGTCAGAAAGCTCTTCCTGATTGGTCGGTCTTATTGTAAGAGCGACCAATCACGACCATCCGTTTTTTGTCCCCACAGAGTTAGAAATGAAATAGAGGTGTTAGTTAAATAAAATAAATAGGTACACTTAAAAAATTCTTCAAGTTTTTAATTATTATTTAGTAGTTAACAATTATTTTGTCTTTAAACATAAAATAAAATTGGAAATATTAAAAAAACACCTTTATAAAAAATATTTTGTCGTGTAACAAAAAATAAAATTAAACACAAAAACGGTTATTTTGTCCTCAAACACAAACTGAAATTGGGAAATTATAAAAAAAACGTATAAAAAATCAATCATTTTGTCCTCTAACACAAATTAAAATACCTTGAGATTTAATTATGCTGTTCTCATCTAACAATTTTATTATACTTTGTATTCTTTGATTTTTTTGTCCATTCTAATTTTTTACTATTTTCATTATGCCCACTGTAATATTTTTGTAACTCTATGGTAAATTCGTTCGGATTAACAATACCTGTTTTTTGAGAGGTATTTAGTTGACCAGGCTCAATATCCGACATGGCAAATAGTATTCAATGAGATCACTTAAGTTCACACGCATACAAATATTAAAACACGAAAAATTTATGTAATTTACGTTATGTTCGCAAACTAGCACTAATTCGTTGGTTTATCATAGATTTTTTTACGTCCACAATAATTTTACATAACTAATTCTATAGATATGTTATTTTTAAAACGAAATTAATTTATAATCACAAAAACAATAGTTTACATTTAACAACAAACCAATTAACAAACAAATATGGCGAGTGCCGGGGCGGCGGGGGGCACATAACGTTCAACCAATCAGCGCCTGAGATCACAATTTGACCGCTTCCCATCGATAGATTACAATAAAGCGAAAAATAATGCGTTAAATTGCAATCATATGTTACGGTTCACAATTTTTCGACAGTTTACAATCTCACGAGATAGATTGTAATCAAACGATGTTTATAATCTTACGGTGACATATCTATTGCTAACTATTATAGCCAAAGAACAAAAAGTATCGCTTTAACTCAAGTTGCAGTGGACTACATTATAATGTGCTCCAATGATATTAAAGAACTATAGATATGTTACGTTCATAGAAATTACGATTTGAATACGTGCCGAGCTATTCCAAATTGCACACATTGACAAATGTAACTGATAAGTGAAACAAAAGATACGAAATAGCACGCAAATGAAAGAGATAGCTATAGTTTTAACGATTCTGCACTAACTAATCTATGTCCGCAGCGCACGCATCCTTATCGCTCTAACGTCAAAACAAGATCGCTTTCTCTTTCTTAACTTGAACATGGCACATGGCGTCTTGATTGTTTGCATAAATAATTGAAAATATAAATACTAAATAATTTTGCATAATCACATGTGGTAAGAGATCCCTTGTATTTTGTTTACTTTAGAGTCATAATTGGTACACTTTCGAAACACACACGATGGCATTTTTTATTTATTTTGAAAAGAACAGGAACTTACGGTGCGGTACGCACGCGATTGCGCACGACGCAGGCCACACGAAGACTAAACACAAGACGTCCCAATTGGGACGTATTTGAGTATTCACAGCGCGAGCGCTTATAACATATCTGCTTTTGTTTTTATATAATATCATTGATGTGCTCATAAAACTGATAGAAGTTGAAAAGTTCTCGAGTGTCGACCATGGACGATAGTGTAGACAAGCTTCCCTGCACTAACTATACTATCGCCCGTATTCACAAACTTTACAAAGAGGTCTCACAGTGCGCGTGGACGCACATGGTGACGAATCAATCAGAGAGCTATATTTAACGCTGTGCGTTCGATTTGCTGCTTCACTTAAGCAAGTATCGTTTGTGAATACGAGCGTATGCCTTCTATGTCTTCCGTAAATGTATGATAACTTGCTAACTCAGTTATGATTCTTATCATTCACCAGCCTCAGCCTAATGTAAATACATGCTTGTAAAAGTAAATAAAATTTATTTATTTATTTATCTTTAGGAATATTACCTATAACTGGCAAGCCTGTCTCTTTCTGGTATGACGTCATGGCGTACCCAACCACACCACCCGCGGGCCCCGAAAGAATGGCCCGAGAACCGTTAAACCTGTAAGAATGAAAGGAAAAATTGTTTATAAACATATTACTTTTTATTAAGTGATCTCCCTCAATTTTTAAAGCAACCAATAAAAAATTGAAGCCATATCTTTCCTAACTAGAACTTCATTTTGGCCCTAAAAATAAATAAAAAAGTCAATTTAGCTAGCAAACAAAGTGACGTCATAAAAATTAGCTAAAACTACTACTACTCCTTGATACACTTATTATAAATACACTAACACTAGCGCAATGAGGGCTATCGTTTTAGCGCTCACCATTTAGCGCCACTGTAGAGTAAGGTCCTGTCACTTGCTAGTAGCGAAGACAGTGGCACCAACTGGTGAGCGCGAAAGTGGTAGGAGGACTATCGCATTTGCACTCATCAAGATGGCGCCACTGTAGAGTAAGGTCCTGTCAAGGGTGCCAACTGTTAAGTATAAAAACGATAGCCCTCATTATCAATAAACTCACAGATTCATAGGAGTCAGCCCTCCGTCACTCTGCATGAACAGCACGTTAGCTCCTTCCAGGCTCCCTGAGAAGCCCTGTGAGAATCCTCGCAAGTACTCCTTGATGTGAGGCGTGAGATACGCGTCCGCACTCGCCGTGTGTCCCCTCGGAACAAGACGCACCATGGAGGTTATGGCGTGGGAGAGGGACACTTGGGTAAATCCTATAAAAGACATAGAGAGAGTGAGAGGGGTCTTGCGTGAATCCTAAAAGACAAAACAGGGTGTCCCAAAATTAGCATGTTACACTGATACTGGAAGTAGGTATATCGGCCTAAGACGCTTCAAACAACCTAATATTATGTCCTAATTATAGGACATCCTGTATGGCAATAAAAAGGACTCAATTACAATGAATTGAGCCTGTCTTGGACCTTCTGAGAACCCTCGCAGATACTTTTTGATGTGAGGCGTGAGGTACGCGTCCGCACTCGCCGTGTGTCCCCTCGGGACAAGACGCACCATGGAGGTTATGGCGTGAGAGAGGGACACTTGGGTAAAACCTGGCGAAGATATAGAAACGTAAACGTTATGGAAGATATAATAAGGACACAATCGCAATGACTAGTCTTAACGAAACAGGTACTCCTTGATGTGAGGCGTGAGGTACGCGTCCGCACTCGCCGTGTGTCCCCTTGGGACAAGACGCACCATGGAGGTTATGGCGTGAGAGAGGGACACTTGGGTGAAGCCTGGCGAAGATATAGAAACGTACCTAAACGTCATGGAAGATATAATAAGGACACAATCGCAATGACTAGTCTTAACGAAACAGGTACTCTTTGTGTGAGGCGTGAGGTACGCGTCCGCACTCGCCGTGTATCCCCTCGGAACAAGACGCACCATGGAGGTTATGGCGTGCGAGAGGGACACTTGGGTAAATCCTATAAAAGACATAGAGAGAGTGAGAGGGGTCTTGCGTGAATCCTAAAAGACACTATTATAAAACAGGGTGTCCCAAAATTAGCATTTTACACTGATAGTGAAAGTATATCGGCCTAAGACGCTTCAAACAACCTAATTATGTCCTAATTTTAATATATTTCAGTAAATTGAGCCCGTTTTGTGCCCTGTGAGAACCCTCGCAGGTACTCCTTGATGTGAGGCGTGAGATATGCATCCGCACTCGCCGTATGTCCCCTCGGAACAAGACGCACCATGGAGGTTATGGCGTGGGAGAGGGAGACTTGCGTGAACCCTAAAAAGAAAATTAGCACGTCACTTGAACACCTGAGGTAAATGGGCCTAAGACAAATCGAACTAGCCCAATATGTCCTCCTGTCTGTATGATAATAAAATGAGCCCAATTGCAACGAGTTGAGTCCGCCTTGTCCCCCTTGGAAAGACCTTATTGGGTCAGACACTCATTGATATGAGGCGTGAGCTACGCGTCCGCACTCGCCGTGTGTCCCCTCGGAACAAGACGCACCATGGAGGTTATAGCGTGAGAGAGGGACACTTGGGTAAAACCTTAAAAGACAGACGTTATATACAGAGAGATAAATAGAGAGTGAGAGAAGGTTCTTGCGTGAATCCTAAGACACTATTATAAAACAGGGTGTCCCAAAATTAGCGTGTTACACTGTTACTGGAAGTATATCGGCCTAAGACGCTTCAAACAACCTAATTATGTCCTTATTTTAATCTATTGCAGTAAATTGAGCCGTCTTGTGCCCTGTGAGAACCCTCGCAGGTGCTCTGTCATGTGAGGCGTGAGGTACGCGTCCGCACTCGACGTGTGTCCCCTCGGAACAAGACGCACCATGGAGGTTATGGCGTGTGATAGGGATACTTGGGTAAAGCCTGGAAACGTTAGAGAAATATCGATGTTATGGAGGAATAATAAGGACACAATCGCAATTACTAGTCTTAAAGAAACAGGTACTCCTTGATGTGAGGCGTGAGATACGCGTCCGCACTCGCCGTGTGTCCCCTCGGAACAAGACGCACCATGGAGGTTATGGCGTGAGAGAGGGACACTTGGGTGAATCCTGACAAAGTTTGAGAAATATCGACGTTATAAGGCGTTATTGGAATGAATTGAGACCGCATTGTACCCCTAAAGACAAACTGAACCATAAAAGTTATAGTGTGTGAATGTTAATCTCTACAGCTGGAGTTCATGTATTTATTATTTGGCAGGGGGCGCCAGAGGATTCAGGCTTAGCTCCCCACGCTAGCCAGAGGTCTGATTTTTCCTCAGTCAACCCTTACGACATTAATGGAAAGAGTGAAAAGCTTTTATTGCAAAACGGGGACACTTCTAACATAAGGTGCCACACCATTTTCTAGACTAAATACATTGTAACGTAAAAATCGTGATATCAAACTACTAGTACTACCTGCTGTCAAATAGAAAAACTAATGAAAGTCAAAGTAAGTACTTGCCTATATCGCTCGCAATCTTCCCAATCCTCACTTCATGGTCATGATAGGTGTAGCTATGTGCGAGCACAACAGCAATACTCTCTATCCCTTTCGCTCTCAGCCTCTGCAGATCATTCCTCACAGCTTCCTCATCCAAGTCTTTGACTACCAGCATCTTCTCTCCAGTGGTCCCTGTGACCTGACGCCATTGTGCAGGTTTGTCCATTTGACAGCGGTCTTCTAGAGCTGGTATGACTCTACAGTCCACTTCGACGACCTCGGTGTATAGGACGCTTGGTCTTTTGATGTCCTGGAATCATAAAGTTTGACTGAGATATTGTAGGTCTGGTTGGGCGGTTTTCGTGTCGGATACTAGGGTTCGAATACACAAACAGTAAAAAAATAGAAATCAAAAGCTGTATCAATTTTGTACGCTAAAAGTCAGTTTGGATTTAGATTTACGTTTTTGAGTTATTATAATTACATATTGCATGAACCCAAGAGCTCATTATTTTCAAACTTTTTATGCCCAGTAAAAACGCGAATCACTCATAAATTTTGTATGGCTATGAGAAATATGACGTCACTAGTTCACGAACTTGACTATTTACTAAAAAAAAAAGCTGCTGAAAATCGTGTTATGCCTTAAACAAAATTTTCAGGGCTACATATAAGTGATTTTAATGTATCATGAGTATGAGCTAATAATCTGAATCAGTTTTCGATCACTCTTACCAACTGGAATATATGTGGCCTGGCCTGGTTGCCGATGAACAGTAGGTCCTTGAACCCCTTATTGATGACGAGCGCCATGTTGGCTCCTTTCCTCTCCAGTAATGCGTTGGTGGCCACAGTGGTGCCCATACGGATTGACTCTATCAGGGACGTGTTGACTTTGCCGTCTTTGTCTAATGCGTTGCCTGTTTCCTGTAATTGTGAGAGAAAGCGATTAGCATCAATCTGAATACACAGGTCATAAAATAAATGAGGTGACACATCATGGGATGTGCAGAGCCGGTACTGTCATTATTACCAATTCAATCAAATCTGATAAAGGCTAATGGTTGATCTCTGATAGTTATTAAGAAAAAAAGTAATAACATTAACTATCACTTTAAGAGCATATGTTATGATCATCATCATCATCATCAGGTCTCTGTTTATTTATTTATTTATTTGTAATAGGTATTGCAGAACACTAGAGGATTTGGACACTCCCCATGCTAGCAAGGTAGGTTAGGGAGGCCATAATGTTCGCATTTTTATCCCTTACTAGCTTTCCGCCCGCGGCTTCGCACGCGTGAAATTTCGTTTGTCACAGATCGTCATAAATTATAGCCTATATGTTATTCTGGATTATGAACAATAATACTGTAAAGTTGCATCAAAATCCGTTCAGTGGTTTTTGAGCCTATTCATTACAAACATACAAACATACAAAACTAGGTACAAATCTTTCCTCTTTATAATATTAGTATAGATTCGCTCTTCATTGACATCAACATGACATCAATGGGACAAGTGCGTTTTGGTATTTTGAACAGGTTGTTGTATTTCAAGTAAATAAACACACGCACCCTGCCAAAGTAGATACAGTATAACAATATCTAAGAAATAGGTTGGATATTATTTAGGCAGTTTATTATTTTAGTTTTACTAAATGAAAATTAAGGGGTTAACATTAAATAAATAAATTAAGTATACCGTTGAAGGAATTGCCTCAAAACTTATTAACCAATAAATTATATCATTTACCTCCTGGAGGATCCTCCTAATAGCCTCCCTCGGAGCATCATCATAGTTCTGTGGGTCCACAGACAGCAGCTTCATGACCCGCACCTTGCCGCTTGGACACCGAGCATACACGTCCGTAAACGTGCCTCCTCGGTCTATAGCGAACTGGAAACCTTTTGGTGGACTCATGGTTGTGACCTGTAAGGTAAATAATTTATTGTGTTAGGGAAAAATTGACACAATATTGAATTTACGGAAAAGATTTTTGTGAGTGTGTTTGTGGCTAGATTTTAATGCGGGATTTTTTTAATAATTACTGCATTCACAGCTGATTTAAAGTATAGATGCATTCTAGGTCTAAGACTGCATCTACAGTCTAGAAACTATACTCTAGGGTGGTACATACCTTCAGAAAGTATGAATATTGAATTCACTTTCTCCCCTTAAAGAGTTCAAAGTATTTATTTATAGAAAAGTACCTAGAGAATAATGAAGTAACCACAAGCGTAACCATCTTCTGGCCTAGGGGGTTGTTAGGTCAGAGGTGGAATTGTGTAAAGCTAAAGCAATCGTTATCATTTGACAGTTCATAATGTACGATTATTCTGTCAAACGCTTTGTTTAATTGACTTTATCGTATGTTATGAACTGTCAAATGATTACGATTGCTTTACACAATTCCACCTCAGATCGTTTGACTTATGCTCGTTTTCACCATCAATCCCTAATTCTTAAGTGACCTGTATGAAAAGTCCCCTCTCCCTAGGTATGCCCATGGAAGTAATATTCTCTAGATAAATTCAAATTTTTAAAGTCTAATTTAGAGTATGTGCCTACTTACCTATTGATAATTATTCCACTCTAATAATACACATTCATCAAATTTGGAGTTCAATGTTTGATCTCGTTATCAACATCTAAACAATGATTATTTGTTTTAGGATTGATAAACTGATAAGAGATAACAAATTTTAATTGGATATTATCAACCCTATTTGCAAATACATAAGGCTTAAATTAGGTTAGCCTTAGGAAAATGTATGTAGGTAGCTACCACAGCAGTATTTGTAGGCAAGTACAATAATTTAAATTGAAAATTTAATTAGGTACTTTCATCTACTTATCAACTTATTAAAGCCTTATCAATAACTGTTAAGATTCTTAAAATATTTTAGGTTTTTTGTGCTATTAAGCGTCCTAAGTCCTACCTGCATAAAACAAATTAATAAAATAAATGCTTACCTTAAAACAGACTTGATTGAGATTGAAGATAGACGAAAACTAGAACTACAAAATAAAGTTTGTAATTTTGGCAAAGTTTACTTCGAAAACAAAGTCACGAATCAAGAAATCAAAATATTGCTAGACGAGAAAGCAAAATATATACTGCAATGCAACGTGACAAAAAGAGACAAAACACTTACAAAAGATAGAATGAGTGATTGTATTATATCCATTCATTATTCATTCATTACTATATACGTTCATTCTTTTATCACAAATAACTACGTTCATAAAAAATCATTTCTTTTAAAAGGTAAATCCATTCTTTTAACGTATTATTATTTTGTAAAAAAAATATGATTGACATTTTTTTATAGAATTATTGTTTGCAAATGTTTAATCTTACTGAATTTTAATATTTTTAATTAGTTACTTAAAAAACATCAATGTTAAAAAAATATTTAGCAATTTATGAACGCACCTTGTAAACAAACATAACCTCACTTTTTAGCGAACTGTCAACGCTGTCAACCAAAGAGCATAAAAGAGTAAGAGACGGCACTCCATAGATATTTTTTGAGCTCACGCACACATATGCATTTTAGAGAACGACCCGCAAATCTTTACCAACCGCACAAACTACAGGCGGAGCTACCAACATAATGCCTTATTTTCTGACAGTATTAGTGACGTTCGTAATAACTTATCGATTATCGATACTTTGCTAGGGTTGTAATTGCATATCGATATCTAGTATAGGAACCTTCAATATTTTAATGATTACTATTTTTATTTTATACTATGTGTAAGTAAAACGAAGTTTTGTAACGTAAATTATTTATTTCGAAATAAAATAGGTATATTACAATAAGTATTGAACATGACATAGCAGTTGTAGGCATGAGGAATTATTGAAAATTATAACAAAGTACAGAAATGATAATTTTGTAAACTTTTATTTTCACAACTTTTTCTAAGAAAAAATAGGATTTTTATTTATAAACATCTTTAATTTTCTTATCAGCTGATCGAACCTCAGCCCTAAGATTACTTTTCAATGCTTTGTTGCTGTGCTTTTTTACTTTTGTCAGCAAAATTGTTTTCACTTTTTATGAAGCTGTCATTAATGATTTTACAACTTTTTCTTAGAAAAAGGTAACTTAATATTTTAAACATCTTATCATAAATTTGTTCGTATCCGCACGGTCAAATCGCATTAATATAAAATGTACAGAAACCTAGAATGTTGTACATATAAGTTCATTTTGACCTGACTGCAGACTGCAGAACGCATCCAGGGTGGCATTCTTTAGTTTGAGGGAAGGCATATTTTAGAAGGTAAATAATTAGTTTGTACACTTACCATGAGTAATGGGTTTATAGGTCATATGTTCTGGTGCATTGGAAGTAGAAGGAAGAGGTTCAAAAGTTGTTTTCGCAGAAATACCAGAATCTGGTATATCCACAGCTCCCAAACATGTTGAATTTAGTTGTTTGGTTGTAGTTGTAAGGGGAACTGAAAGCAGATAATGAAATGTGAATTGGGTAATAAAATGTCATGTTCTTACCCAACTTTAGGGTACAATCAGTCTAGTACATGTCTTGCTCACATTAAAAATTACTAGCTTATAAATATTATTAAACTAGCTGACCTGGCTAATTAATGTAGATTGCCTAAAATTTTTCAAATTGGTCCGGTACTTTTTTTGAAGAATTTGTATTACACAAATTACTAAAGTCCCTCTAACTCAACGCCTCATTCTAAGCTAAATTGTGTTATGAGTGGGTTTACTACAATATTCAAGCTGTGGGGTTCTAACCCGCACTTTAGGCTATCTTGGCTTCGAGTTACGGAGCCGATCAAATACAAACAAACAATTAAATATTTCTTTTTTATATTATTAGTATAATTTTAGATAAACATACCTCGTTCAACTGGATTTGACTTCTTTGGAATGCAATATGAATGATCATAAAGAACTGTAACAAAGTATAGATATAATTAATAATTAAAATTATACAGGGTGTCCCGTAATGTAACGTCAAGCCGGAACTGGGTGTTGAGGCAAGTTGTGCTGGTTATCAGAAAAATATAAAAAAAAATCTATGTGGCATATTTTAAAAATAATAGGCATTTAAAAAAAATCAAAAATTTCTCCTCCAGGTGACGGTCCTTTTGCTCGTGTTGCCACAAATCTTCACTTTTTCCAAATTTTTTTTTTGTTATGTAACCCTGAATAATGCTTCTCTAAATTGTTATCAAAATTACAAAACCAGCTGCTCCAGCTTGGATGAAAAAAATACATTCTTCTCAAAAAAATTTTCAAAATAAAAATTTTGCCTAGTTTAAACTGACTGTACTGAAAAAAAAATGTACTACGCGAGTGTGGCAAGTGACGTCATAATTTGGCGCATTTAATAAGGATTCCAAAGTGGTATAACACTTGGTAAATTTATTGCTATAATTGTCGACAATTTTTGGATTTTTGGAAATAGTCCCGTTTTTAACTTTATTTACCTTGGTTAAAAATTATTATTCTAATGTGCCCAAAATTCAAGTTTAGGAGAGAGGTAGGTGGGATGTTTGTGAATGGAGTGGTTGGGATGGAGAGGGTAGAGGTTGTGAGGATGGGGACCTTGTGATGTCAGCATAAGACCTACGAGTTGCTGGGTACATGGCCGAAGCCTCAGCGTAGGAGATGTTGTCTTGTGACATAGCTATTTTTATTGCTTTCTGTCTGGAGTGCTCTGGACAGGATTTGTTAAGAGCGAAGTGGGGTCCTGTGCAGTGAATGCATGTGGCCTTTTCTTCAGTAACATCACAGTTATCCGCTGAGTGGGGTTGCGTGCAACGAAAACATCTTGCCTTCGACCTGCACTGAGCTTTGACATGGCCAAAGCGGCAGCAGTTTAGGCACTGAATAGTAGGAAGCTGATAAGTCTCAACAGGGATTGAGTTATGGAAGAGAAAAACTCGTTTTGGCAAGACCTGTCCTTTAAACGTCACAACCACCGATTGAGTGGGGACCCAGGACGCCTGTCCGTCTGTGGTCACTTTCCTGTTTAGACGACGAGCTTTAAGCAGGATGCCACAACCATCAGGGATTGTCAATGACTCCGCGAGTTCTTCCATTGGAAGATCTGAGGGGATTTGTTTAATGAGACCCATACGGGTCACGTTGTACGTCGGGATTGTTGCTGAGTATTTGCAAAGGGATAGAATCTCACTACTCAAAAATTTGTTGGCAGAACTGGCAGAGGTGAACTCAACAGATATTCTGTTTCTCCCTATTTTCTTGATACCATCATTAATCACGTCCTTAATTTTGTTATTGACCAAGAATTTTCCGAACCTAATTGGCTGGATGAAAGTTGGAGCATTAGGCTCGGATTCAATGCGCGATACGTGGACAATAAAAGGGCCTTTGTCAAGGTCACTGTAGACTTTTGGTGCGATAACAAGAGATGGGTGCGTGTACACCGGTTGGCTGCTTGGAGATGACATTGCAGCAGAAGGGTTGTTGGATCTCTTTGCGGGTTCAGAAGGAACCTCCGAATCCAGGCGGCGTTTTGTTGCGGCTTGGGAAAACAGCGGTTGAGAGATGTCCATTGTACAGGAGGCCGGGTCCGGAGGATCCGGGGGATCGGGAGGAGTTAATTCCATTCTACTTACGGTTTTACCAGATAAATCCGTCACCTGTTATTATTAATTAAAATAACTAAGCTTAAAATTGATTGTTTTTGAGATAAACTACGTTAGAATTTGATTTTTCCACTTAGACACCTGAAACACGTGTTGCCACTGACACATGCGGCGAGCGACCCCTATTAGAAACTTACCGGTCAGAATCCAGAGGAAACCTACTCAAAAGTAAGGGTGATCCACCACGACTTCGCCTCTTATTACAAATAACGCACTTCTTGTTGTTTCTACTCTCCATTATCAGTAGAAGCCTAAAATGAAATAGGTATTAATTAAACAAAGCCTATAATTTCTCTCCAACCAGTGTCAATGCCCTGGTTCATGCATTTACCAGTTTTGAAAGTACAGTAGAACGCCGATTATCCGAACGCCGATTAACCGAATCGCCAATTATCCGAATCGGTCCTAAGCGTAATATAAAAAAAAAAAAAATAAAACCAAGTAATTTTTGACTTTTTTGTTGGAATTCGGATATATTTCAATTGAGCGTTATTGTAGCAGTTCTACAGTAACGCCAAATGAAACATATCTGTTTGTTAAACTAATTGAAGTTTAATCTATGTGTGACAGTTGGTTTTTCCCTATTACCCCAGTCTATGTCCGATTATCCGAATTTTCGATTATCCGAATCGACCCCGGTCCCAATTAATTCGGATAATCGGCGTTCTACTGTACATTTACATTTTCATCACATAGGGTTGTTTTTAATGAAAAATAGATTTGAAATAGATCTAATATTTCAAGTAAGTAGATAACATACCCATTAAACAGAAAAGTAAATAAGAGTTTAAACTTCTGTAGAAGTTGAAACACAGCTTATTTAAAAGAGTCTCTATCTCACAAAAAACATAACACTGAACAGCAAACTTTATCACGCCCGATACGGAGGAACTTAATCAACTCAACGTAAACGACAGAAAAGTTTATTTACAGTAATATTGCACCAAATCTGAGAAAATAACTTAACACGAATCAATTCGCCGGTTAAAAACTCGAACTCAATTGACAGACATTTTTTTTCATTTGTCTTCTTCTTCTTCTTCTTTTAATGGCGATGAACTTGTGTTTTTCGCCACAGGGCACACTGTTCCGCCAATGTCACGTGCGCAGCTTTAACACGGTGTAGGTATTTTGATAAATTTAAATTTTTTAAAAATATGCTAAGCAAAATACCTAAAACAAAGAGACATCACAAATAAGACAACACAATACATAAACATAACACATAAAAATAAACACAAATGTGGAGGTTTAGTTTTCTGCTAGCTCTTGCTTGTTACAAATTAATTTTGTTAATGTTAATAAATTTAACTAGAGATTTCAAAGTATGGGGATTAGTAAAGTTAAGGACACATTTAAGGTTAGTCGGAAAAGGGAAATTTTTGGGNTCATTGTCAACAGGAGTTTTCACGCTCAAACACTCTTCACAAATTAAACAAGAACTGTTCTGTAATAGT